GAGCAAATCGGTCTGATAGAGTCCAACCTTCCATTTGAACAAAACACAGGACATTTCTCCCTGCTTCTTCCCAGAGCTCTCCCCATTGCCACTGATTCTTTTGACTTTTCGGTTCAGATGTTCACGGATGCCTCCTCTTCGTCCCTAAAAATAATTCCAGAAATGGTGGAAAGTCAAATGGGACTGATGTAATCGACGTGTTTGGTAGAGACTTGACAGACCACCGATTCCCAAATTTGATGGTCTTTGTGAAGCAGAGGGCTGTGATTTTGAGCAGAGGGATTTTTTCAACAAGATGTGGCAAAGTAGGTTTAGTAGCATCAAACTCCTTCATCACGAGCTGCTATCAAAACACAGTGGAGAACGGACAATGTCCTATGTCACTAGAACTCCAAAAATGAGCAGATATTTTCCCATCAGCTGTCAATCATATCAAGATTCCACCCTATCCTGGGAGGCAGTTCCAACCATCCCGTTTGAAGGGGTTTCGCTCAGTCTTTTCCCGTTTCCCAAAATGCCCCGCGGTTTATCCATCCCGATCTCCGTATGAAGGCGATGGCTGTTCACAGACATTCTCACAGAAAAACACTGGCATGTTGTATCGACACACTTAATATGGAAACGTGTGTGGACTGTGGTGAGCGTAATGAAGGTTGTTTTTTTTTTTTTAATCTCTGTGTTTGTGGCTTGCTGCAGTATTTGCAGTATTTATATTTTGTCTTTTTTTGTTTTTCTTGCTTGGTCTCTTTGACAGAGGGTGTGAGAAGTTTGACGCTCATCGGACAGATTATGAAAGAATCCGTGTCAATGGAGGGCCCTTTCCATGAGTGTTTGAGTATATTTATACCATTATTTATATACTGTTAAGTAATAAGAACGCATTTCAGACAAATTATACCGTAAGATAGTAAGTATATTTTCCTGTAGGATCAACACGAGGTCCAGGTTCGACTCCATTCAGAAAGAGCCTTTCTTGAATGAGTGTTTGGATGATCTTTGCATCTATAGTGGTACGGCATGGTGGCTGAGTGGGATAGCACTCTCGGGCTTCTCAGCAAGAGGTCCTGGGATCGAATCCCGGTCGGAACAGGGCCTTCTGAGTGGAGTTTGAATGTTCCTCCCGTGGTCTGCGAAGGTTTCCTCCGGGTGCTCCGGTTACCTACCACTAAAAACATGCACAATACGTCTGAATGTAAATGAGTGAGTGAATGGATGGTGTTGGTTGGGGGCTGATGTTCCAGTGTGTTCGGCGATTTGCTTCTGTCATCACCATGTGTGGATATGATTGAAAAAATCTGAACATTGTGTAAGTGCTTTGGGTGACCTTGGGTCTGTTAAAATGCGCTATATAAATAAACATTACTTACTTACAATAGTAGCTGTTCATTATTGCATATAAATGAATAAATACTGAGAAATGATGACCTGACAAATGCAGCTTGATTTCTGGACAAATAAAAGGGTCTGCCCGGTTTTATAAGACACTAAATTAATTCCCATAAGTTCTGCAGTAAGTAAATGAGCAATTTTTATTTGTATAGCACCTTTCACAGACAAAGTCACAAAAGGCCAGAAGTGTTGGGGCCGTTTGTCCTCTCACTCCACACCGTGATGGAACGGGGGTCGCCAATCAGGAGATGCATGCAGGGCATAATGTACATGTTTTTAGCGGTGGAGGAAACGAAGCGCCCGGAGGAAACCTATGCAGTCACGAGGAGAATGTGCAAACTCCACACAGAAAGGTCTGAGGGTGGAATTCAACTTGCTGTGAAGCACTGAATTAAACTATAAAAATGTGATTGTAAATAAAAACACGACACAGATTTCAAAACCAACGACATATATTAAAGATACCCCCCCTCACACAAGTTAAAGTTACAGCATAATTAACAAAAAAAGCTAAACAATAAACATGTGCTCCAAAAAAGCTTCAATTTCCACAATCGCCAAAGTCAGAAAGAAACTTAACACCTTTGAGAAGAACCGCGCACTTCTCTTGCTACAAATACATCTGTAGTTTTGTTCAGCAGTTCAGCTGGAGGCAGGAAAATGACAAAGGAAGTGCCATCGTCGTATCAGTAGTTTCTACTAAAGCCAACAGCAGCGACGACTTAAAGAAGAAATAATATGCATCATTTTCAGACCTTGAACATGATAATGAGACTATTCATTTTGGAATTTCATATGAAAAAGAGGTTCTTAATCTCAATGGCACTTTTCCTGGTTAAATAAAGGTTAAATTAAACAAATAATAATAATAATTTGTATAAACATGTATTAAGGATAAAAATCATCTCAGCAAGTAATTCCTCACTTCTAACACCAGATGGCGACATTGGATGACATTTCCGTAATGTATTTGGAGAAAGGCTGAAAGGTGCAATAGGAGAAGGATTATTTTTACTGCTTACTGTTTAAAGTGGGAGCGTTTAGACAGAAGGGGCAGATATCAGCGTGGAAGTAGCTAAAAACGAGGGTTTGTTTTGGATGATGGAAAAATGTTGTAATATAGAGAAAAGCCCCAAAAAGAAAATGTTGCATAATATGTCTCATTTAAGTTGAAGTAAAACATAAATTGTGACATTAGCCTCTGCATTTATTGTCATTTTTCCTTCCTCCAAGTTACCATTTTACATAAAGGCCTGGAAGGTTTCAGCATTGCCTCTTCAGCACTAGACCTCACACTAACAATTATTAAAAGACTACGATTTCGTCTATTCATTTGGCTTCGGCGCTTTGTCAGCCCGTTAGAAACACGGTTCAAACTCCCACTGTAGTGTAAAGTGCAGAAAATCGTAGAAAAAATACAACGCTTTAAAATAAAATACATTTGCATCAAAAAAATAATAATTATACAAACAAAAACAAAATCAAAAACCCGTGAATGGGCATTAAATATATGTCGTCAGTAGCTACTCTTGACCCGACTGCTTTCCGCTTTCCTGCAAATCATTGGGATAGACTTGGCTTATCAAATCAAATGTACATTATATATAGATCCATACAATGTAAGCACGTGATAGCAATGATGTGGTATTAGCTTTGCATCGTTGCAGCAGCATTGATATGAAAACGAAAGTAAAGCACAAGAGGAATTATAAAAACAAGACCGAAGCAAAGCGTGATCACTAAGTCTCCGCTGTCCCACGAGAAAGCAGTGTGTAAACTTTAAAATAAAACATTCAGAAGACAATTCTTTCAACCCATTTGATCTCTGTTTAGTTCCAAGAATAACATCCAAAAGAACATTACACCATTTTCGATATTTTTTAGGGCGAAGTTTTGGAAATCTCTGTATGAAAAATCTGAAAAAATTGGCGGAACGGACTTTTAAAATGCCATTCTTCTGACCGATGCAAAAACACGTTCGAAGACGATTCTCATTATCTATGTCAAACTTAATTCATGAATATAAGGTCAACAAAAATACATACAATAATAAAATATAGAAGGAATGGGAAAAAAAATATGCTTATGCGACGTTAAAATCACATAAAACGTGTACCTTTCCTTTTTCTTTATACAAAATTCAACGCCTTCTTCGTCTTATTGTGATGCAAATATGTAAAAACCTCATGCGTGCCTCTTTTCTACCTTCTTTTTTCCAGTTAAGTTTTGTTTTACTAAAGGAATTAGCTATTCTAATCTATCCTACATCTACTTTACAACAGTACGTCCCTTTTTCTCATCCGTGCGCCCACAACCTGTTTTCTGGATGATAACAGTAGAAGTAAATGGGAGATTTACAAAAATATCCAGTAGAAATTGAGGATTAAAAAGGCATATGGTCACCAGTGTCGTGTCAAAACAGCAATGTAAATTATACCTCCTTCTAAACAAGGGGCGAAAATTGAGTTCTCGTTTGAAGAATATACAAAAAAATAAAAGAAAGATGGTCGTATGCTGCTAATGCAATAACATGGAATGGTTTTAAACTAACATATCTTGTAACTGACGCATAGAATCTAACATGTTATCCCCTGTTTTTTACAGCTATTATGAATGAAGATTGTCTTTTGACCCTTTAGAAACGTTCCCTCTCCAGCTGAGTTAAATCACAATATTCTTCATCATTGCAGGTTCAGAAATGGCTTGTTTTTTTAATTCAAATTCCCCCAAAATGCTCTAAACTGTACAGCTAAAGTCACGTTTCTCGCACGTTATCACCGAGAAGTGACTAGAAATGCTTAAAAGCGGCACGCTGTAGAAATGCTGTCGGCTTGCCTTGTTTCTGTTACAAAATAGAAATGAATTTAGCTTTTGAAAAATCTACTATTAATAATATTATTATTATTATTAACATGGTTTCTGCATTAAATCTTCAAATTCTAAAGAGCGTTGCTGGATGAGGTTATTTGTATTGCAGCGTCTGATGTGCGTATCTGACCACGCTGCAAAGAACATATGTCTAGAACAGTCGAGCTGACTTGAATCCAGAAGAGAATATTCAATGTTTAATAGTTATTATTAGAATGATCTTGTTTCAATTTATTTTCTTTAACTATTTGACTAATCATGAGATAGCATTACTTTTATAGCTATAATATAACCACAGAAATACACGTAAAATGTTATTATATTTAGGAAAATGTATTGCTGTCGGGAAATTTTAGTAGGTTTATAAAATTCACTTCCTGGTTGTTGTTATTTTCATCTATTTTTGTAGTAAATCAAAGTTTAAACAATATAGTTAGTTACTCACATGTCTCACAGTGTGACATCATCAGTTCAAGATTTCTGTAAACTGCAATATATTTCCAGACATTTTAGTCTTTATAAGTTTAAAACTATAATTTCTATAGAACTTGAGTCAAAAGTAAATAATGATAAAAACCTTTCCTACGCTTCTTAAATGATCTCATGTGGCAATATGAATTCAAGTCGGCTCGCTGGACTCCAGGCGTGTGTATCTACAGTGTGCGTAGCTAAGTGACCCCTGAGTTGTGGAGGCGAGAGGCCAGGTCATGCGTTGCTGTTCCTGCGGGTGCCTTTAGGGGGCGTCACTCAGAGTTGTTGATGCCATAGGTGTGAGGCGGGTCCAAGCTATTTTCGGAGGAAGGGGTGGGGGTCCCAGGGAGCCCAGAGGAGGGTGAGGCCGGGGGCTCCTCAGAGTCAGAGTTTTCCAGAGAGTCGACCAGCGCTCTGCGGCTGCGCACGGAGAGAGGAAGAGGAGCGCGCCTGCAACAGGGAAGAGGATCAATGCCAGGAAACCAAAAACATTTATCATTCCAAGAGACAGTTTTTACTTTTACTATCTGCGTTTTTATCAAATACAGGTCTACAGATTTTTCTATGTTTTAGTTTGTAATAGTAAATGCAGTCTGTTTACACCAGTGTGGGCCCTGTATTTTTAATAGTCCTTTCAAAAATACAATTGAAATATCTGAATTTAACGGATTACTCAATTCATTGTTATCGTCCCCCCAAAAAAGTTGTAGTTTTGTTCAGACTTTAGACATTTAGCAGTCTAGAGGTTCAAATAAAACAATTAAAACTGCATTTTAGTTACAGTCATGTATGAAACGTGCGGTATAATTCAATGTCCTCCCTTCCTACACGCGCGCTCACGCACTCGGAAGGAAGCTACATATTCTCTCTCGCGCGCGCACTCGCGCTCCTCTTAGCGCAAACTCAAGTGACAGCGGCGCTCTCGCGCTCGCGCGCTCAAATACTGGCGACTCGCTCTCTCACTCGCGCACACGCGCGCTTCACCGGTGACCTCTGTCTGCGTAACCATGGTTATAATCGTGTGATGTGCACCGATAGAGCACACATATTCTATTTGACGTCCTCTCATTTTAACTATGTTGTAAAAAAAAAAGATAATAAACAGAACATGCACATTCTTTCACGTCTTCCAGAGGGTTATGCAGGGAACACACAGACAGATGAACAAATGAATGAAGGTGTGATTCTAAAGATGGAGCACTAAACACTGTTCTTACCATTCAGGGATGCTGTGGGTCATGCAGACAGGACAGAGTGAGATGGACACAGATGATGCAACATAAGAGCAAAGCAAATACAACATTAATGGGACAAAAACAATGGATTACAAACTGCAAAAAAGGGATGGATTCAAATGACACTTAAATCCACTTTGATTTGAGTGGATTTAAGTTATTGCTACTCCCTTACTTAATATTTGTTCTTGAGATATTTAACTATTTAGGTTTGATTTCATACAAGTTTAAAAAAGTGAAGCTGCCTTTGGGCAAGATGAACTTCACATAATTTAGTTTGAAATTAGGAAAACATTGGCATATAATAGTTATACTTGTATTTGTCTAGAACTTTTGCCTAGTACTTAAAATTTACATTATGACTTGAGGTAGATTAAAATGATTGTTTATTTTCTGAGAAAAAATAATAAAACACAACAAAATCTGTGAATCTGCTTAAATATATAATAAATATGGTTAAAAAGGCATGCTTGGGGTATACTGAATATGTGGTGAATAACGACTACAATAAAAAGACCAACATTTTTCATAAATAACCCAGCGCTGTGGGTATCAGTTCCTACATAGCTAGTTAACCCCCATCATGCCCTCAAACATAATATTTGGAATTTTCAAAACTCCTATGGGGGAAATAATCCAGAGGAAACTTTGCTTAGGAGCAGAGGGTACAGCCCAAGAAAGTAAGTACTGTAAGTAAAGAAAGTCTTTACTCGCTCCTTCTGCAAACTGTGGCTGGGAATTTTACAGTATTTTTCCCTTTTTGATTTGATCCTGTCCCAGTTCTGATGAGACGTGTGCAATATTAAACCAATTTTTACCAAACACATCACAGTGCATAAATGATGATATCATTTTTATTATTAAACTAAGGGATATCTAAGTATCAATACATCGCTAGTTTTGCAGTGATAAACAGGTGGTTATGAAACACAGAGATGAATGGTTTGGTGGTTGGTTTTGTGGAGGTCAGACCTGAGCTGTGTGCGCAGCGACGTGATCTCGCGGGTCATGGTTTGGCTGCTGTCATTTAGCTCCTCCAGTTCTCGCTGCAGTTTTCTCCTCTGAGCGTTGGACCGAGAGTTCTCCTCCTCCACTTCCTCCAACTGCCGCTTCAGCTGTTTCAAACGCACCATCGATTTGTCCAGCTACAAAGGAAGAAGTTACAACAAGAAAGAGATCATGTCAATGGTACTACAGGAGAAAATGTGCACCACATTGTGCATCGTGCTAATTTCTATCTGTAAAAAGTGAAATGAAATACCTGTTCTCTGTACTGGTCTGCGTGCCGCCTCTCATCTTCAGCCTGCATCATCACCTCCTTTAGTTTCTTTTCTGTTTTCCTCACCAATTTGTTAGCAATGACACGTTCCCTGGGAAACAAGAACAAATATGTACAATGTAAAACCACTGTTATACAACCATTAAAATCATGTCACTACAAGGTAAACATTTGAGATTATTATTGTCTAAATGATACTTTATTGAGCATTAAACAAAATAGTTTTCTCTTCATATTTTCTGTCATTTTTGAAATATTTTTTCTCCGGCGTTCAAGCTGCTTGTTTCGAATCCAGCTCTCACCACAATTTCTGTGTTCAAATTGTGGACAGTGAGCTGCATGTTTTGGACTTGGGACAAACGCAAGACATAATATTCAAGGGATCAGATCTTTAAGCTGGTGGTTTCAGACGCTGTCTCATTTTTACAACAATCAATTATAACTAAATATCAAACAAAAGAATGGTACATCCTATATTTGAAATAAATCAAGAGGTGTCTAAACTATGATCTCACACAGGATTAGCAATATCTGTAAAATACTATTTTCACTGACATCTCACATAACGGCTGCACGTGCGCGGCTCTCTCCGCTTCACGCAGTTCAGAGAGTCGCGTCATACAGTCTATGGTCTGACCACAGCAGCCACAGGGACCATGGAGACAAACTTTTTAATAATAGTTTGTACGGACTACTCGTGAACGCACCACACTCTGCTAAGATAAGTGCGAGCCGACAAATAGTAACGGCTGCAGCAACATCTCTGTACTGTATTAGGACAGAGTGCAGAGTAAACGTACAAATGCAACCCATCGGTCTGATCATTTAGTGTCAGTGACCACATTACACTGTGCTCTACACTTCTCCCTAGACCTCACAGAGACAGCAGCAGCCGCGACTCTGCAGGTGTTCACAGCCGCGATATGCGACTCCTCTGCTCATTGACAAAAACAACGCAGAAAGTAAAGAGAAACGGACCATAGCGATCACAATCACTGACATGTAGATTCTCACTGGAATAGTATTATCACAGGACGTCTGTGTTTGGACAAATACAGGAGGTCATTTGCGTATTAAATTGGACTTAAGTTAACAAACTTGTTTCACTTCCGGGTAATCGTTCACGCCGAAATGTATTAAATACATATTAAAAAAGGTTAATTATTGCATTTTCTAGTTCCCAAATGCGGTTATTATAATATATATGTAATATATATGTAATATATATATATATATATATACATATATATTAGGGCTGTCAAAATTATCGCGTTAATTCACGTTAATTACCGTTTTCATTAACACGTCAATTGCGTTTCCGCTATTTTCACGTTCCCAGATGTCTGTTGTATCAAATATGTAAGGCTTGAGGCAATATTTTATCGAGCCAGCAGATACACGCATGTATATACACGCACAGGGGCCATTCTCTGATGTTCTCTGATGATGGAGGAGAGGAGGAGACACGCGGAAATGCAACCAAACTCGCAAAATTAAAGCTGGGGTACCCACATTTTTCCTTTCATTAACAGCTCTTGTTGGTTGTACCCAAAAGTAGAAGGTTGTGAGCAAGTCAAACAGATTTAAGTACATTTGGTATGAATAATAATGTGTCATTACATTTGAAAATCTCATTTAACTTCAATTGGAGTGGATTTGAAATAGAATGTTAAAAATGCGATTAATCGTGAGTTAACTCATCATTACTATGCGATTAATCAACTAAAAAAAAATTATCGTTTGACAGCCCTAATATATATATATATATAATGTTTTGTAAGCAATGAAAAAACCAAAATGGTCATTTTTGCATATTGCTGTGTGCCTGAAAATGCAAAATAGCCTTTTTTCAATTTTTCAATTTCAATTTTTCAAAAATAGAAAATGTATTGAACGCAAAAGTACATGGACCGCCCTCTATCTACTTTCTGAAATGTTGACAGGGAGTTATTCTTGGTTAAATTATAGTTCGAAAGTAAGACTCAGTGTACTCACTGTTGCTCTTGCTCCAGCTGCTCCTCCATTGACTCGACTTTGGCCTCTAGAGCGGCGACGTTGAGCCGGAATTTCCCCCTCACATTCCCCTCCATTTCTGCGAGTCGTGTCTTCAGCTCCTTGTTCTGCCTCTCCAGCTGCTCCCGTGCGGCCTCTGCCTTCTGGGCCAGAGTGCGCTCTCCCTGCAGCTGCACCGTCATCGTCTCCACCTGCAGGGCCAGTTTCCTCTGTCGCTCGGCCATCAGCTCGGAGTTAGTCTGCTCCTCCTCCAGCTCCTCCTCCAGCTGACTGATGCGAGAATCCAAGCGCCGTTTCTCTTCGCTCAGGGCCGTTCTGGACAAACACCACAGGTTCATAATATGAGCTACAGTGTGTTATGTGTATACTGTAAGCAGTGATAACCAGTGCTATCATCTGGTGCAGAGATCTTCATACTTATTCTATCCATTTTACAAAGCCTACATTCTGTCTATTATCCCTCTTGTTGTTTTTTTTTCATAACATATTTAATAATTTGACAGGACAATGCACTCATACAGTCACCGCAAAAGATGCAACTGATGTGACACATACAGAGTGTAGAGCAGATGTTATTCCTCATCTCCTGCCCCTTTGGGGACCATGTGCAATGTGCAATACGGCAACTTCAGAATGTCACTGAACAATGTCATTTTACTTTATCTACTTCTTATCCTGCCCTATATGTACAGTATATAACTCTGCAATACTACATATATATATATATATATTTTATTTTATTATGGTATGCTGGTATTGAAGCATTTACAGATAGTTAAGAAACATAGCTACTACTTCTTTTGTATATTTTGTGTGCTCCCTGTGTGTCTCTTACTGTTCTGTCTGTGCGCCGCAACATCAAAATTTCCCCACTGTGGGACGAATAAAGGTTTTCTTATCTTAACTGAGCCACCACTCCAATCAAAAGACATAAATACTGGCCCCAGTGAAGCCAACTTGATGCTGATTGGTTAATGCCACAGGTTTGTCAACATTCACTTTAAGCTGCCATGCACCAGCACTGACGCTATAGTTCCTCTGAAAGCCATTCACAGACTGAATGATATCCAGATATCCAGACATCTGTCAGTAAAAACACAATATAAAGTTTTGCATCCTGAAGAAGGCCAAACTAGGATGAAAACGCGTTTTTACGTATTTTAACTTACAGCCATGAGAAAAAAAAAGCCTTTTTAAATTCCCTAAACTATCGACCACGAGTGCCTTGGATTTTTTTTGATTTTCTAAGATCTTCATGATTTGCCTCAAAAGTCCATTCTTTGTTAGTAAGTTAAACCCCTCTTCCAATTGAGCACCTGGTCTTTTAAATAACTTTACACGCTTGTACCACGCAGAACTCCTTACACTTTGTTTTTTGAATACTATAAAGTTTGTATTCCATTAGTAAAATGTGTACATGATCGCTTACTTTCCAGTGCTGTTGTTGACCATTTCATCCGACAGCTCGTCTCGTTCTTGCTGGGCCTGTCTCTTCTGCCTCTCTGACACAGCCAGCTCCTACAGAAACATTAACGTTGTATTTGTCCTGCAGTGCAGTCATTGTTTTACTTTAAATATTGTAAGTGCTGAATTACCTCAGTGAGTTGCAGGACTTCTGCCTCCAGAGCTTGCATCTTCTTCTCACTCTCTTTGGACTGAGACATCACCTCTTCTCTTGTTATTTTGGCTTCATCCAGCTCCCGGAACGTTTCCTTTAGTTGTGCCTAAGGGCAAAGCCAATGGAGTTATAGCAATTTGCATTTTAAGGAAGACAGGTGTAAGTTTAGCAGATAACTTTTTTCTTTTTATGACTTAGTTAAATTCTCAGTAAGCAGGGGATATATAGCACCTCTATCTACCAGATAGATAGATACGGGATAATCTATGAAACCCATATTGTATATTTTGTACATTTGAATTCTCAATATTGATCTAAAACCATGTCAAAAATTAGACTTCTATATTGTCCCATCATATCACTCTGTCCCAAAAGACTGTCAAATCATGCGTGTATCACAAATGTATAAAAGAAAGATAAACAGCGTGGAGGTCAAAGGAGCCAGGAGGAGCAACAGCTTCTCTTGGGTGAAAGACAATATGAATCCCTCTAAAAAAGGAAGCGAACACAAGTATAATACTGTAAATCAAAAGTCAATATTGAGAGTTCTGTCCTCTTGCTCTCTCTCCCCCCCGGTCTGTTCTCTAGTTCTCTACAGTGATGCTTGGTAAGTGTGTGGTACCTGTAACCGGCGTAGCTGCTTCATGGCCTCCTCTTTGCCTCGGTTTGCGTTTTCCACCTGAGACTCAAGGTCCTGCAGTTCAGCGTCAAGATGTTTTTTGGACGAGACGGCCTGAGAGCGCTGGCTCCGTTCCTCCTCCAACTGGATCTCCAGCTCCCGCACCTGAAATGCATCACACATGACATTTTTAGTAGAGCAATGGAGCTCCACTGAACTACAAAGACAACATTACAGATATTAGATAATAAATAACTGAAAATAGTACATTAGCCTTGGTCATACAAGAGCAGTGTTAGTTCACTCTTAAATGAGGTGATCGTCACATTTACAAGGAGCATGAAGGGAGAAAGGTACTTATCCTACTTTAAAGTTGCACAAAAGGAGAGGTGAGAAGGTTGAGGTACATAATGCACAAATAAATCAGAAAATATGATCCATGGATAAAATGACCAAAGATTTAGAAGTCGATTAATAACCAAAATGTTGCGTTCATGTGACATCAGCATTCCACAGAGCGTGTAGTTTAAATTCCGGTGGAGGACAGTTTATTTTTGTTATCCTGGTGACTATGGTAACTGTCAAATGTCAGATTATATTCCCTCGGGATTAGTATCCCCTGTGGACCTCTGGTAATTTGTGAAAATCGCAGAGGACGTCTGAGATCTAACAGCGCATTCACACGGGATAAGCAATGTCTGTAAATGACTATATTTTCACTGATATATAGAAATAACGGACACATAACGGCCGCATGTGCACAAGTCTCTACGCTTCACGCAGCCCATAGGATCCTCGCAGTGACGCGGCTACAGTCAAAACACATGGGAAACATGATTGTGCTGATGGTCCTTGGTCCTGTGTTTGGACAAATACAAAAGGTAATTTGCGGTGGAATTATTACTTTACAAACTACAGACATGGCGCTTTCGCACCGGACTAAGATCTCAGACGTCCTTTGCGATTTTCACAAATTACCAGAGGTCCACAGGTAATACTAATCCCGTGCGAATAGGGCTTTAGTTTAGAGCAATTTCTCTATAATTCCTGGAACATTCCACATGAAACACACTTCTTCCTCAACTATGCTCTAATTAATAAGTCTAATAATAATAATATATGTGTCAAGTAGAAAGGACTTTCAGAAAAATAATATAGTGCTTTTGTGAATCTAATCAATATCAGATAATGATCTGGGAAAAATGTATCTTTTTTTAACATTTCACTCAAAAATGTTGTTTCCCATAGAGTTGCAGTGGTACCTGCCTTCTAAGTGAAAATAGAATTACATGAAACAATTATTTTTGTATTAGTCGACAAGTCATGTGTTCAACACAGGAGAACCCTTCCAACAATGAGGCTCAAATAAACTATATCTCTTTCTGCCCATGCTCACAGTGAACAGAACAGACCTGTTTGCTCAGCGCTCGTCTCTTCTCCTCTCCCTTCTCTTCACTGGTGCTGAGCTCTCGTTCAAACTGGGCCTTCAGCGCCTGCAGAGTGACCTCCAGCCGGAGCCGGGAGTTCTCCGCCTCTGTCAGCTCCTCCTCTAGCTCCTGGGTCTGAATGCGCAAGCTCTGGGCCTCAGTGTCCAGGGCTCTGCGGGAACGCTCCAACTCATGCACCTGAGACCAGAACAGAATAATGAACTCATAATGCTGAGAGGAGTTGTAGTGCAACCATCTCAGTGTTGTTGTTTTTTTCTTTAAGAAGCACTTATATAAGTTAAGTAACAGGTCACACTCAGAAGAAGGGTCTCACGTTTTTGCCGACATCGTCTTGCTGATTCACCAGTTGCTCCATATCCACTCGCAGCTGTTTGTTGATCCTCTCAAACTCTTCTTTCTGGTCCTGGGCCTCCTGGACTCAGCAAATTTAAGCGTTACAACAGGGGTGCCCAAACCTTTTGCTTCCAAGGGCCAAAGTAAAAATTTGCCAGTCGGCCGGGGGCCAAATACACTGATATTTTGCATGAAACACAAATAAAATGTAGATTTGATCAAGTTCTATTAAATGCATTAATTATTGTCTATCAGTGCAAATCACAGCTGAATGAATGAAATCAACACAGTCTTAGTGAAGTGGAGACTCCAGGGAAATATACAGGTTTGAGGAGACTACAGTACGGAAAGATTCCGGCGGGTAATCAGGGTCCAGAGGAGGGAGATTTTCTGTCATGGCTTATTTACAGCTTAAAATCATATAAAAAACCTCTAAAAGAGAACAGAAACATACATTTTCTATGTAACTAAACTGTTTTTTAAACGCCACTTGTAAAAAAATAATGTTCCTGTTAGTAAATGAAAGTACTAATTTATATTAAATAATATCATACTCCCAAATTAAATAATCTATATTTTTAACCTGCTCATGTCAGTAAACTGTTTGTTGAAGACCTTTTTCTAAACAGTTTTGCATTACTATATAGTGATTTATAATGTATAGGTTTATTGTACTAATGACATTTACTTTACAAAAGTAAAGTCTATTTTCATATATTTATTTTGAACAAAAGTTTTTAACTACATTTGAATCATATTACTTTATCTTAGCTTTTATCAAAAAGGGGAGACATCACTGATCAGTAGATCTGGTTTTAGCACACTTTTAAACAATACATTTTAACATTAAGTAATGAATTTGGGAACATAATTGCTAACTGCATTTTCTAAACATGATCAGGTTTTAACTCTGTTTTAACTTAATATTTTTAACATAGGGCAAGTATTCTCAATTAGTTGTGAACTGAATATTAAACTAACGAAATCAGACTAGTTAACCATGATATGTTCCTTGAGTTTGTTTGGTTTTACCTAAACACAGTACAACATTTATAAACAATCAAAACAAAGTAACTGTTAAAGAGTCCGTGTTTCCGCTCCTCCAAAGGGCTCTTGAACGCATCATAAAACTCAGCGTAAGTTCTGACATTCAATGATCGCGAGTGAGGACGGCGCTTACCGGCTTCTTTCATGGGGCTGTAGAAGGGGTTGTTTTGCACAGTATTTGTTGCTTCCACTTACGTGGATTGTGCGCTGCGATCCCTGCTTGTCCTGCTTGAACTCACTCTGAAGTGTGTGTGTCCGTCTTTTTTAACACACCGGGTGGGTGCGGATTGCGCAGGTGAATAGTTCCACTCGCCATTTCCCTCCGGTGAGGAGGGAGAGTGGCAGTTCGCCAGCACAATCCTCTCAATTTGATAAAATATTAAATTGCTCAAAAAAATTATAATAGTAGGCTGAAAAAAAAGAACATAAAGGTGCCTTGCACCCAATTGTTTTGAAAGATGTGTTTGATTTTAAAAAACATTTTAGTGCAAGTAGATGTGAACCATGAGTGAGGAGTGTATCTCGATACAACAGTAAAGTACTGGACAGTCGTGGTTCAGAGGGCGTTGGTGCGCCTATGCGATCTCAGACATGTCACTGTTCGTTCAGTGAGGTTGAGGGACGCAGTTAGAAACTTACAGAGGAGGTGGGCAATGTTAGGCGGGCCAACTGAAAAGGTCCGGCGGGCCAACTTTGGCCCGCGGGCCCCACTTTGGGCACCCCTGCGTTACAACATAATCAAATAAATGTAAAATATAAATGGTATTTTATTACCTGCAGAGATCTTGAAAGTGCAAGATATTTGGTCTCCTTCTCTCGACTGTCGGCCTCGGCTCGGTCTCGTTCCTCAGCCAGACGAGCGCTCACTGCTTTCTCTTCTGCTAGACACTGTTGTAGCCACACATAAAAAACTGCACTATAAAAATGAACCTTTACAATCTATGCTTTTGTATGTAGCGGCGAAAGTTGCCAGTATGCTCTGAGAAGTAGCCCCATTCACTACCTCATGCTGCGGTATTTCTCTGGCATTTTCAGGCTCTCTATTATTTATTCACATAAACACACCAGGAAGCATAAATGTGTTCCAACGTTTTGTCAAAGCTCTCAGACCAGCTCATAGAGAAAATCAAGAACTATGTCTAACACAGAGCACATTAATTATCTACAACAGCCACAGGTCTTCACTGGACACAACATGACAGACAAGACTTTGTGAAAGCCTCATTAGCAAGTTTTCGACATTAATGTGTGTCCCATCCCTATTAAAACAGGATGGAGTAAATAGTTGCCACGTAGTGGATGTGACTGAGAGGATCCCGCCAATTTGACCAGGGTTTTTAGTGGGTAGAAAAACTCACTTCAGGCGTCATTCACATAAACCGCCACACATTAAAGTGATTGTCTGGAGTTTGTCAGAAAGAAAGAGAGAGAGGTACTTGATTTGAAAAAAAAAGACGCAAGCTCCTTCCCCTTCTATTCTGGTTGGTCTACACCTACGTTTCCGTAACACATTTAAATGTTAATCGGAAAATACATTATTCATATACATTATTAACACACATGCACGGAGGTTTTCAGAATTATTTGTTAACGTTTTCATGAAAAAATATATTGTTTTAATGCACAAAAAAGCGATCGCGACAAACCCAGAAGAAGCTATTATCATGAATTGAACATTATAGAACACATCTGCAGAGGATCTGATTATGGATATAGGTTCAGTATATAAATGGGTAACTCAGCACAGATGTTCAGAATTCTTTGTTCAGTTTTCATGAAGTTTCAGAGCCTAATAGAGGCTTGATTCTGAGGCCTCGCGAAAACAAATAACTGAGCATGCGCGCAGCTGCGAGCATCAGCGCAATGATTGACAGCCCTTGGAATCACTTGGTTGGTTAACGTGGACGGCACCGTGGATTCTGAGCTATATCTAAGAAAAGGGAAGGCGGGACTTATCCGTAATATTAGAATATAATAAAATGACTTATTTTATATCAACATTTAAGGCCAGGAGGTCACTTTAATACAATTCTTAAAATTTGTAATTCATTTAGAGTTCCAGACTATCACTTAAATGAGCCAGGGACTTATTGTTATGTGAATGGGGCTTAACAACAGCATAACCATCATGTCTTATAAAAACAACGGAAAGGGTTTTTTAGAAACAGTCGACACAGTGTGACATCCCAGGGACTAATATAACACGAAATAGCCATTACCTGATCAAACTTCTTCTGCCTCTTTTCCAGTGCAGTGCAGTTCTGGCGCTCTCGCTGTAAGGCCAGGGTTATGTCCTCCAACTCCTCGCGAAGCCGCTCCCTCTGTCGCTCCACTCGTTCCTTCTCCTCCTCTTTCTGCTTCTCACTCTGTAGCGCACCGTCCAGTTCACGCTGAAGCTTCCTGCGCGTCTCCTCTCCTGACTCCACTGCGCTGCTCACCTCCTCCGACTGCTTCCGTAACTCCGTCAGCTGCAAGAAGTTTTAACAAAATTAATTCAAGTTTTCATATGCTGTAAGTTATGTACTCACACAGAGGTGGGTCTAAGACAAAAGCATAAGATAATAATGATATTAGTGAGTGTCGTTCATGTTTATGAAACTCCAATCACCTCTTCTGTTATTTCAAACTTGATTTTTTTCACTTGAATTAATATTTTTGGTGCTTTTACCCTCTCTGTGGCCTTGAACAATCATGGTTTGTTTGCTGACTGCCTACCAACAGAGGCAGGATGACAGCATTAACTGTGTAATTCAACAAAACAAGACACACAAATCTAAGGAAGAATGAGCGAGCAGTCCAAGCTCACAGGTTTAAAAACCTACTCTGGCTTGAGAACAAAAATGTATGAGTAGGTGGAATCAACATTTCAGATTTATGTGGCTGCAATTCTCAAACAGCGTTCTTATAATGGCAACAAATGTACTGTGATCAAGTATTAATTTTTATTCGGGCTCCATAATAGTGATTGGTGCACTGGTATAAACGAGTGTTTGTCCCCACCTGCTGAGTGTGAGTTTGGATCTGTCGGTTCAGCTCTTTGGCTCGCTCCTCTTCTTCCTCCACTCTCTCCATCAGCCCATTCTTCTCGTCCTCCAGAGCGCGAACCCTCGAACCCAGAGAGAGCTTCTGCCGCGTTTCTTCCTGGAGCAGTTCCTACGAGTCAAAACAGCCGATTATTTTCACTGCTCTTGAAATATACACTGTCAATGAAATAATGAAGTGTTTGTCACCTGTAAATCATGTAGCTGGTTTTCCAAGTTGGTGACTTCTTTAGCAAGACGAACAGATTTTGTGTCGGAAGTGGAGAGGTTTCCTGAGAGAGACTCCAGTTCACACTGAAATCGAGAAAGAATTTAAAAAATATAGAAGTTGGGGTATTGCTAGCTTAAGCTGGTGGACCACTCGCACTACTGCAGACTAATTTCACCAGGGCAACCCAGGAAATCTTCCCATAGATCTCAAAGTTAACAAAAATGGTTCATCCTCAACTATCACAGAACCTACAGCCAAGAAAAGGTCAAATATGATTTGTGCATGTGACATGTTATCTGGGGACATATAAAATATGCAATTCTAATTTGAATTTGAATGAAAATATGACATCTTTTAACTATTTAAAACAGCCCATTCATTATTATTGTTTTACCTTTGGTCACTGTAATCAGAATCAGAATGTAATGTAATAATCTAAACACCTCCACTTGTTTTTAAAGTTTAATAGATTTTTTCTAACAATAATTCCATCCTAAAGTGCAGACAATGGGACAGTAGCGGGTATACCATACCATACCAGGTAATCATGTGGCTTTGTTTGTTGTTTACATTTTGATTGTGTCCAGTAGAACTGTTCCGATCATGTGCCATTTTGCTCCTCTGTTTAACGCTGCAACTGTTTGTTTGAGCTGTGACCACCTCAAATTCAATTGGTCCATATTTTGAAAGAATTAGAATATAAAAAGGGAAAATCACCTGTAGCTTGTGAAGGCGCTCCTCCCTCTCCACGCGCTCGCTGTCGGCTTGTGTCAGTCGTGCTGTGAGCTCCTGAACCTGGTTCTCCGCTCGTTTCCGCCCTCTTTCACTCTCCATGCGACTCGCCTGAAGACCTTTGATTTCATCTGTCAAACTCTGCCTCTCCTCCTCCAAAACAGATTTGGCTTTTTCCAGAGACTGCCGCGACTGTCAGAGAGGGAAAGATACACATTTCAAACTCTATGCTTTTTCTTAAGCTATTGTACTAGTTAATACACATGAAGATAAGATAAGATCCTTTATTTGTCCCACAGTGGGGAAATTTCAACGGTGCAGCGCACATGTGCATGTATGCAGGACAATAGTAAGAGCACACAGGGAGCACACACAATATGAAATATAAGTAGCTGCTTTGTTTCTTAGCTAGCTGTAAATGGAGAACATACAGTATATTCTTTTACATTTAAGATGTGATGAAGTAAAAAATAAACTCTAATGGAAAAGGTTAGACATTATTCCATTTTTAATACCACTTTAATGAAACACATTTTGGGGGACAGTAGCTGCCTATTTTCAGCTTTGAATAAAAGTACACATTATTTTTGTCCATAACAGTTGTTAAGATTAGTTTTTGTATGCGATAATAACTATATTCTTACTTAAAACCTTTCTTTTTATCTTGTACAAAAACTACTAACAATATAATTGTGAAAAAATGAAAGCAAATTTAGCTTACAGTGAAAGTCAACCCACAGACAGAAAGAATGTTAATAATAATACGTTTTTTTTGACACTCTATCACACTATAAAAGTGATATACGTGAAAGTGAAATTATTTATCTATTTCACTTATGAACATGACACTACATCAAATTTTATAATTTAATTTCAAATAATTGTAGTCACACAAAAGAACAGGAACAGAAAGAAGAAAATAATCTTATGTCACGTCATCTTATACAAGGGATGACGTGACCTCTGAGTCAGTATTATAAATTGCTGACTCTTACCCTCTTGCTGTTGTCCAGTTGCTCCTGGAGGTTGTCGATGGCGCTGCTGTGTTTGACCCTCATCTCTGAGAGCTGAGCCTCGTGACGCCGAGTCGCCTCCTCCACACCGCGCTGGAGGTCACCGAGCTCAGCCTCTCGGCGAGATCTGAGTGTGGAGGGAAAACAGAGAGACTTCAGCATCCAAATCATTCAGCATCAATTCAAAATTCGCACCAACTTAATACCATTAATAGAAGGAAATATATTTCCTGTTAGCAAGTTTTAAATAACTGTTAGAAGTGGTGATTTTAGCGTAATGCTGGATAATGTGCCAAAATTATATAGTAAAATGATTTGAGGCCTAATATGCCACTTCTCTGAATTGACTCCACAGTGCGATATAAACCTATTTGCTGTGATGTTTGGTGAAGCAGCTTGAGAAATGAGGTGAATGTAGCCTCTGTCCTGCGGCCGACTCACTTAGTGCAGGAGTAGTGAAAGAGTAAAATAATAGTAAAACGCTGAGACCACAGACCTGAGCTCCTGCTGTGCGGCCGTGGTGTCCAGCGTGTCCTCCAGCTCGGTCCTCAGTGCCTCCAGCTCCTCGCCCAGGTCTCGTCTCTGTTTCTCCGCTCGCTCTCTCATCCCGCGCTCGTTCTCCACCTCCTCCTTCAGCTCCGACACCTGGGACATGGCCTCACGCAGCGATCTCTGCGCCTCGGTCCGGCGTGTTCCCTCCTCCTCCAGACTGAAGGACAAACAAAAGATGAAGAGAAATCCTCCACTCACATTCATGCATTTTATATTATTATTAATATCAGATATCACTTTTTACTGGGAAAAGTAAAGTAACACGTTAACTATCAACAATTTCTTTTTTGATCCACCGCAACTTTACTTTTTATTGGCCACAGGCAGCTTTGACCATTCATCTGCTGGCGCTTGCGGATCAGTCACGACTCACGCTCCTTTCTCATTTCACAGCATGTCATGCAAGAGGCCGCTAGCGGTGGTGCCGCTCAACGATGAGTGTCGCTGAGATCTGTCTATCTCCTATGTGCGGTAGCTCAGTTGGTGACGTGTGTGTGTGTGTGTGTGTGTGTGTGTGTGGGAGCGCGCGGGTGACGGGAGCACGCCTAGAGGTTGAGGGAGCAAGAGTGAGCGAGAGCTGAGAGAGCGGAGTGTATGTAAAAATTAGCGTGTGTGCAGGGAGACTGGAGCAAACAAGTGCATGGGATGTTGGTGTGTTTTCGCGAAAGAATAAGACCCCACTCTTGAGCAACAGTCTGGAGTATTGTTATGATCGCAATACACTTTGACTGAGCGGGTCACTACAGAAAAGGGAGTGACAAATCTCCCCTGCGCCCCTTGACCATGGTCCAGGGGCTTAAACAGGAAAGGCGTAACAACAGTAACACAAAAGTAAGGCAAAAGTAAAATACAATTACTTTCTTTAGATAGTAACTAAGTAAAGTAACAGGTTACTTCCCCAACAGTAAATGGTAGAATTCTGTTTGTTGTTAACAAAACTAGACTCAGAGAGTGCAATATACTGTGAATAATACGCTTGAGTAGCTATTTCAAATGCACTTTTTCCAAGGCAGTATAAATTTAGTTACAGCACTTTTAGCTAACATTTTATGCCCTTCCTGGCCGGCCATGAGACCTACTTCCTCCAGTGAATCTTGGGTCAATCATTACTGGTTAAAGCTGAGTCATTCTCACCGTCCCTGCAGAGTGGTGATGTCCTTTTCCTTCTGAGCCAGACTGCCCTTCAGCTCGGCCGACACCATGCCCAGGTCTGACAACTGCTCCTGGGCCTCCGCAGAGTCAGTCTCCATCCTCCTCCTCCATTTCTCCTGCTCTTGTCGGCCCTGCTCCTCACGCTTCAGACGCTCTGCAAATACATCAAAACATCAGATTTAAGTGTGTTTATGTGATAGCTGTTGAAGCACTGAGATGAGTTTTTATAGGAACCATAAAAAACAATGGACAAGATGGCCACAATATTTCTGTTTTTTTCTTAGATTTTCAATATTTGCGAGTTTCTTTGCTTGAATCCAGCTGAAGGAGCAGCTAGTGTGCTACATGCAGGAAAAACATAGTTTTGACCTTACCCTCCAAATCAGCGATGACTGCCTCTTGTTTGTTCTTCAGTTTGTTAAGACTTTTGGTTTTCTCCTCCTCCTCTGTCAACTGGTCCGTTACTTCACTCAGACGCTCCTCCAGCTGTTTCTTCTCCTGCTCCAAGGAAAAAAATAATACATCTTTAATGAAAGATAATATTTTAAGAAGGAAATCATAGAAAGCATTATTTATAGGGTGTTGAATATGTTTATAATGACTGTTTGTCTGTTTTAACAAATTATTAAAAGACAGTGTAGTGGTAAAAAAGTCCCACAAACATTGATTTGAGTAATTTACTGCTTTTTTATGCATACAACAAACATAGAGCTTGTCACCATGCTACATATATCTATGTTTGAGGAAGCGGGGAAAATTACCTTGCCAATGCGATCCCTCTGCTCCACTGCGCTCATCAGATCTGTCTCCAGACTTTTGACTTTTGTCTCCAATGTGACCTTTTCCAGCAGGAGGCGCTGTCGGGCTGTTTCCTCCTCCTCCAACTGCTCCTCTAGGTCCTAAAAAAACCCCCCAAAATCATTGTGTTTATGATGAAGAAAACCAAGCAATAAAGACACTATACGTAGACCTATATTAATATAATAGTCAGTGAGTGAAAGTAGGGTAATCTGACTGCAGAACAAATCCTCTCAAGATTGTCTTCAAGAGCCAAAATGAACATAGATTATGATGACAATAATCAGACTGGTGCTTGAGATTTTTTTTCCTGGTCTGTTTGAAGATACCTGAATGTTCTGCTGCATCTTCTTCTTGTCGTTGGACAGCTGAACCCCTCTCTCCTCCTCCTCCACCAGCCGTGTCTCCAGCTCACTCATCACCTCCTCTAGCTCCTGCTTCCTGCTGGCTAATCGCGCCCGCATCTCCTCAGCCTCCGCAAACAGCTCTGCCTCTGCCTGGAGCTGGTCCGCCAACAAAGACTTCTCCTCCATCAACTGCAAACAAACCAAACCAGGCTGAGGTTAGGAAAGAGGCACACAGACAATAATGATCAAACAAGTCAAGATTCATTTCAGAACACTAACAGTATTAGTTCACCATACATTCTATATGGTGTTGCAGGACACTAAAAATACTAAGAAATATTGTTTGTGCAAATATATTTATTTCCATCAATACACGATGTGTGCTAATATGGTTCAACATTACACACCCTATCACAATGAGCCCTATATCGCAACAGTAGTTATCTCGGAGGACTTTACAAAACTGCTAACTTTGCCAAACCCAGATCTTTATGATAATCAAACAGTTCAAACACAGGAATGTACTGATAAAACCACATAGCGGCCATAAGGGGAAGATGACCAATATCAAAGCTATACAAAAATAGGCTTAATTGATTTGAGTAATGATTGTTTGACAAGAGAGACCTTTGCCTGCGTGTCTGGTTGGTCACACTGTGGTCCGTACCTGTATATGCTTCTGGTCGAGCTCGTTGTAGTCCTGCTCCGCTCGCGTCAGTTTGTCTTTGGCTTTCTGCAGCTCGGTTTCTCGCACCTGGATCTCCTCGTCCTGCCGCGTCACCTGCAGCAGCGGCTTCACCTGCACGAGAACACAAGCACTGAAGGGATCTGAACACGCTCTCTAAAGTGAAACTGTGAGTCTAAGGCGTTACCTTTGTAAACAGGCGCCACCACTGCCAGTTCCGGAGTTTGAGGTACGCAGCACAATTCCTCTGCATCACCCGCATGGCACTGAGCTGCTGCTGCTTCCTCATGAAAGTTCTAGACAGCACAGGACAGAAATGAGGGTTCTATCTATATGTATCTATCTATCTTTATTTGTTATAATGGTGATCATTGGCCATACTCTATCAAATCAGAGTATATTGTTAATGGATGGATAGCCAAAATCCTCAACATTATAACAAACACTTTGGGTCTATATCATATATTGCAGGCATGTCCAAACTAAGGTCCCGTGGGCGGATTGTGCTTTATTATGTAAAACAACATGTATATAATGCCGTGAATAGTGCTTATATAGCTGGTGAGATAGTCATTTGTCATTCAGCCAACTTAAGCTCTGTCAAAGCTTAACTTAGCTTTCAATGTAACCAAATTATTAAGCACAGGACATCTTCAATCCAGTCAAAACAGTTTTACAATCGGGAATCTCGGCCCCTGGACAAGCCTGGTTAACTGCAGAAGCCTCGGATATATTGGTTTCCCATTTCAAAGTTGAATTACAGGGGACGTGCTATATCACGATATCAAGATAAATCTTGATATCTTTTATTTTTTGCTATTGTAATCAACTTTCTATTTGTTTATCCATTTAGATGTTTTTAGAGTCCATTCAAGAAACTGTCTTTTATAAATGGAAGATAAATCCATTGATAATGTTGTAATTTTGTTTAAATGGGGATGAGCAAAATATAAGGAGCCAAAAGCCTATTGTATAATAAAAAGTATTGAAAAGAAAATTGAAAAGTTAAATTCTTCAAGTTAATATCATACACAATGTACTAGTTTACTGTTTCGATGATGATCAAAATACTATCAAATAACAAGCTAAGCGTACCCCTGGTTGGGAAACAATACAATTGGTTTTATTGAAGTGGCATGTCTTACTTTCGTGCAAGAAATCCTCTGGCGGCGCTCTGGAAGCGGATGATGGTGTCTGTGATTTTTAGGTCTCTCTCCTCTTCAAGATGAGCCAGGACTCCAGCTCTGAAGAAGACTTTACTTTGGCCCACTCGGAACAGGTTTTTGTCCAGCTCCAAAGCCCTGATCTGAAAATCCAGAGGAACACAAAACATATTAGTGAAGAACTCAAACATAGCATTGTAATGAATATTATTATAAGGACTCACCATAAGCTCTGAGGCTTGTTTGCCGTCCATAAATGTGCGAGGAATAGCATTAGGTGTGAGGATCTCATATCTGTCATTTAAAAGGTGTGAAATGAGTGCGAATCATCTCCAGAGACACAAACAGGAATGTGTAAAAGCAGTCATTTACAGGTGCTGAATCTAAGCGTGTGGTGAGAGCGAGAGAGAGAGGGGACAGATGGTTGTGATGGGGTTTTAAATATTCAGAGTGACATTCGTATAGTTGTGTTTCTTATAAGCTGATAAACTCTCATAGCAGATATCTTCAGGTGATTTGTTACTGTGCTCTACAAATGAACTTGACTTTTTTTTTTTTTTTTTTTTTATAAAGACCAGTTAGTTATAATGTATAAAGAAGAGTGATGAAGCTACAGAGGTGGCAGCATATTTGGTCATAGCAGAAAATAGAACACACACAAGCAATCACAAATAAGCATTATACAGCACAATGTAATCGTGTAATCGCAAGTGGAAATGGATTTGTAAAATGTAGTAAAAAATGTGGAACTGCACATAGATTGTTTATAATATATACCTCTGTCTGAACTCCTGAAATGGGATGCGATTTGGAAATCCTTGTCTGCAGATTCGAATACCCTCCAAAACGCCATTGCACCGAAGCTGATCCAAAACCAGATGTGGTGCCAGCTTACCTGCCTGAGAGAAAATAAAGAATCATTTCAATTTAACATTTTTCCTTCCAGAAAGGGTATTGTAACCAAAATGCTTTCATCAAATTTGTAAAAAGAAAAACAAATCTATATACATAGCGCGCTTGTAGACAAAAGTAATTTTAAGAAATATTATGTATTCTTTTTATGCAAGCCTTATTCTATTTTTACTTTCTGAAATATATTAAGTATTGCTCAAACTTGTAAAAAAAGAGCCATATGAGTAAGTACATGTCCCTTTGGGCTGAGAGCTGATTAGCTGGTGCAGGGGTACCAGTAATACAATAATAATTATAATAATTAACTTTGTTCTTCCAGGCAACGAACAACCACATCCATGAAGTGAAGAACAAATTTGTATTTTGTGAAATCCTACCCTCTTTTCATGGTTGGGGATGATACAGCGCAGGAAGTTGGGGTTGGTGTTCCTCAGCGTGGCCATGAGTTTGGTGAGGGACTCTTTGTAGAGCTGCCCCACTGTTCGGAACATGCCCTTTTTGGTCTTCAGTCCAGCTGCACCAAAAGGCACCGGGCCACTGCTCTCCCCAGTGGACACCGAGTCCAGACCTATGATCCTGTCCACTGAAGGGATAAAAAGATACAAAAAAGACCATCACAGTCTGGTTTTGATGTGTTTTGATTTAGATCTAAAAAGGTTGGGTTCAAAATCTAAATTGTGGGAAAGGAACAGTATAAAAAATACTGCAGTATTCATGAAGATTCTTAATCATAGATTAACAAACGAATTAAGTTAAAAGTCTGACATGCCTTCCATCTAAAATTACACTACAGGCGAATATAATCACTAAACTACAACTGAACTACCAGCATCAAACAAAACAAAAACAAACTCTCAAAGACAATAACAAACCACACTCACACAAATACATGACAAAGCACCATGCAATTTAAAAAACGTCACAAGACAGAAGATGGCTAATGAAAACAAAGAAATGTCCACATTAAAATGATGATTTAACATTAAAAAAGATATTTGTTTTTAATGTAGGCTTTAGTTTAGTACATTGCAGACTTGAAATGAATTGAATTCAGTGTATTATTCTATATGTTTCTGACTAGAATAGATTCATTACCTCTGGCAGACGTAATGTAATAAGGGTTTGTTTGTTTGATTGTCTGTTTGTTCATTGGTTGGTTGGCAACACAAGTCAAAAGTTGTGGGCGGATTTTAATGACATTTTCAATAACTGTCTGTTTTTTTAGTTAGCTTTTTAACTTGGATTTTTCACTGACTAGAATACATTTACAACTTTTGAATTCAGACATCATTTGAAGTTTCTTGAACATCTTCAAACAAAGTCTTTGTTACATTAACTATCAATTTCATAAACTAGTCAAAAACAAAAATTCCTGAATTCAAATCATTTGAAATAATTTACAAAGAGTAGGTCTACACTAGTCTGTTGGACAAGATATACTATCTTGTTGTATAATTTCTATTTGTATTTCATTCATATTCATAATGCCTGAAATCTATTCCAAATATGCAGTTAAACATGTAGACATTTCTTATTTGCAGGGTGGCAGTGGGAGCGTGATCCAGAGGAGGAACCTACTGTCAGAACCATTGGCCTGGATTGTTGCATAGGAATCAAAGAAGTAGACACGAGGAAGAGTTTGAATGTCTGATGCAGAGGAAGAGGAGGAGGAAGCCCCAAAAATGAACAAGCAGCAAAAGCAAAAAGCGAGCGAAGGATAGAACAGGGAAAGGTAGAGGGGCATAGCAGAAGGAGACAAAAACACAAACATTAGGATACCTTCATACAATTCAATAATTCACTTTTACAGGCATTTGTTTCCTGCTTTAAACAAATGCATGATACATAAATACATGCACAATGTAATTTCACACCTTTATTAACCCTTTAACAGAAATACCCTTTGACTCCGAGGAACTTTCAAAACAGTAGCTTGGGTTCCACTCAAAGTTTTCGCATCTTTTTTGCAGCTTTCTTTACTACTAATAATTCATACTTTCTCTTAAGTTTCAGTGCTCTATCTATCACACAAAATCAATTTCTGTCAAAACTATACAAGTATTTACAGTGAAAGATTATATACTCATAGTTTTAACTAAACAACTGTAATTTTCAATGGAAAATAGAAAACAACAACAAGTTACAGCCTCTAGAGAGCAGATTCACTCAGAAACTGAATACAGACACCATATTAGACATCTATCATTAAATATCATTAGGAATTATAAATGTATAATTCAATGCATGGAACAAATAGAAGTGAATAAAACATTTAACTGACTAATACTGATCAAGAGACAACTATAAGTCATTGCAAGAACAGTGACATTAAATCGAATATTGTAACTATTAACTCTGTGTGTGTAAACCAAGCCGGCCTTACCTTCCTTCCAGAGCTCAGACACAAAATGATCAGACGACTGATGGAGAAGAGAAGCCACATTGTCGTTTAACGGATCCATGTTCTTTATCAGCCACTCGTTTGCTTTGTAATCCACCTACATTCAAGAAAGATGCTTGAGTCTCTGCTGCTGTGTATTACGTATACATATAGAGCTATAGTTGACCAAAGACATGCCCAGGTGACCTATTTGACGGCGAAAAAGGAGGCAGGAAATAAATTGAAGTCAGAAGGAAAGTGTTTTGGTGTAAAATTACTCATAAATTGAGAGTTTAATATAATCTGGCTTGTAAATACCACAATCTTTAACTAGTTTGCCCATTAACTTCCCCATTCCTGCCATTTTCCTAGATAGAAATCCTATAATTTAGATACAATTATGAGTCGACTAATACATCATCCGACAGCCCTACGTACAAAAGCCTACCTTCCCAGCATAGTGGATGATTGAGAAGTCGGCCTCCCCACGCGGCTGTTTTGACTTGAAGAATTTGGGATGGCTGCCTTGTTCTCCTGTAACTTTTTCCACAAAAGAGCGATCTGTTGCACGAGGAAACCAGCACTCTTCATCCAGTAGAGCCAGGACACCAGGCGGATGTGCCTAAACAACAACATTATGTTGAGAACAGTCATGATCTCTTCTTAAGGCTTCTGCTTTTGTGCTCCACTTGTCTGACTATCAGAAAACTCTACACTTCTAAACAAACGTAAAAGCTAAACTACATTTTGGTTATGATTTCAAAAGTGTTTCAACAGTTAGTTCCACTGACTTGATGAGCCAAGATTATTTGACTCATTTAGTAGTAGTTTATTTATTTGGCCATTATGCACATTAGATTAAAGTTCACATGTTCCAAAGATTGTATATACGTATTACAATTAGAAAAAGAAAAAAAACTAAATTGTGTCTGATACAAATTTTAGTGCTAAATAATGCCTGACCGAAAGGGGTTGAGACCTATACTGCCTAACCCCTGAATATTTCAAGATTTACTCTTACTTATGTTGAAAACTGTCACAAAGTGGCAAAGGCCATCATTCAAGCTTTTGTTTTTAACACCATTCTGTATCCCATAAGAAAATACATCTTAGTCAGAAATATTGTTATCTGGACTGTAGTACCAGTAAGAATAATTAAGGGTGACAATATCTATTGTAGTGTATATCTGTAAAGGGCAATATATAGGGAAATACGATTACGATTTGATCAGTTAATGAAGGTGCAGAAATAAAGTCTCTTTAAGATTTAATGATATGATTTACCAGGAACATGTTTTTTCGGGAACAGATTTTATACAAACAACTGTATTATATATGTATTTAAATTTACTATACCAACTGGTCTTTATTAACTATGGACAGAATGAGGCTTGCCATGATGAGTGCATACAGTGTGTACATACAGGCCTCTCTATGAGGTCGATACACGGCTGCAGGTCCAGACCAAAGTCGATGAAGTTCCACTCGATGCCTTCGCGCTGGTATTCCTCCTGCTCCAGGATGAACATGGTGTGGTTGAACAGCTGCTGCAGCTTCTCATTAGTGTAGTTTATGCACAGCTGCTCAAAGGAGTTCAGCTACAAGAAAACATAAATAATTATTACAAATACATAGAGTACAAGTTCAATTGCAATTATTTATGGATTTTTAATGTATTGTTTCTGTTATAATAAAGAAATGGGTTCCTTTACAAATACATATTGCACTATTGGCTTTATGTGAACTGCAAACAGCACATGATTGTTGACTCTTGGTGTTCAAACGACAAACATAGGACACACTATTCTATTGATGTGACACAAAAACATTCAAACCTGAAATATTTCAAATCCAGCAATGTCGAGGATCCCGATGAAAGAGGCCCCCTGTCTTTGCCTTCGGTCCAGAGCTCGATTGACCCTGTGCACGAGCCACCGGAACAGACGCTCGTAAGTGGCCTTAGCCAGAGCCTCCACTGCAAAGTCAGCCTGGAACAGAGCATGAGTCAGATCTCCACACTATGTCACTATGTTTACCCTCACTGTGTCACACATTCTGAGCATCATAGTTATTTGTAATGATGACTTTATCAGCACAAACAAATCTCAGGTCAGAGTGAAGGCTGTTACAGGAAAGCTAACAACAACTTGGATGCCAACACTCACTATTCCTAGTATGAAGATATGCACTGTAATGAGATGCAGACTTCACACAGGGATCTCTTTCTGACTTTAAAAACGGGTTTTACTACACATTTGTTCAGAGCTTGGGCCTCTCCAGTAGGCAGCAAAACCACAGGTATATTTCACTACCACAGCACATACCCCTTTAGGGAGTCACTGGGTGCGTGCCATAAAAGTCCATGGATACAACACCAATTCTAAAATAATACAATTGCATATTTCTTTTTAACTTGTGTAGGCTGCTGATGGCTGAAGAAAAAAAGAATACTAAAAGTGTATTGTGGCTTATGTATATTGAATGGCACCTGTTCTTTGGTCTGGGCCTTCTGCACGTACTCCCGTCCCACTTTGATCCTGGGCGTGAGGATGGCACGGCTGAACTCCAAGACGTTGATGCCCAGCAGGTGGCAGAGTTTCTGGGCAGCCGTGTTGTCAGGCATTGAGGCCTGGTCGTGGTTTTTCTCCTTAGTGAAAGAAATGTTTCCAAACTGGAGCACAGCAGAGATGACCTTTAACATGGCTGCGGAGTGAAAACAGAGGATTAGAGAGCATTACAAGCTAATAAACTATATTCATGGCTCTTTAATATGTCGTCATGTCATTTAGACATAACGCCATATATGTTTAAATTACGGTAGTCATTAATTGCCCATTCCCCCCACTCTGAAATATATGCATCATAAAACATTTAAGACATCACAACAATAAAAAGCGTCACTCACAAAGGGACTCCTCGGGGGTGAAACCCATGATAGCCATGGAGTCCATGGTCTGAATGAAGTTCTCTGAATCACTTTGACCAGGAACAGCGATGGCTCCACCACTGAGGAACCTGTACTGATCCGCTGTTCCCAAGAGCAGGTCAGCTACAAAACAAAAGGATGATGTGAGATTCACTACTACAGTTACTGACAACAATCTTTCCTATCCTACGCTGCAATCAAACTCTCACCTCTTGTTTCATCTGAAGCCCCACAAAGCAGCTGGTAGAAGATGTGGAATGTCCGCTCGTCCTTGGCCTGGCGTGTGGCTCGGGACTTTTCCAGGAGGTCTGTGTGGTTGGTTAAGATTTTTTCTATATTTCTTTACATATTTATTTTGTATGATGTCGAACACAAGAACAGTAACAGAGCAAAGCCATAAAAACATGAAAAGATACAGGTCTCAATATTGGCACCAACGATGTATCCAGTCACATCAAAGTTAATTCGGATGAACTTTCCCTGTAACAGAAAGTGGTCCATGCATATTGCTTTAGTTTCAGTTTAGAGAAAAGTGTTAAGTGTAATTATCTTACAAATCTAGAGGAGTTGTCATTTTTCACGGTCTTTGCATTTCCAAATGCTTCTAGTATTGGGTTGGCCTGAAGGAGCTGTCTCTCCAACTCGCCCTGGGAACAGAATACAAATAATCACACAATCAAAATAACTCTCGTCTGTCGTTAGGCTTTGTGAAAGTTCAATTATAAACAAAGGCACTATTTATGCAGAAGCTGATTAGTAAAAGCAACCCATAAATTAGAGGTATTATTTCCAACATACAGATACTCGTTTCAGAAAGCATGGTTCCCACCCCTCATTACTTATGCAATCAATAGAAAGAGTCATGAATCTTGTTTCACAGAGTTCTGTGCCAAGACACCGCAAGTCTTAAATGATTAAACATTTATATAATACTGAACAGAACCAGTAGAGAACCACTGCTTCTGAACACAAAAGCTTTCGCACTAGGATTACCACTAGAGCAATATTTTGTGTTTCAGCTGCAGTGAGAGTAGCAGGAGCCGCAGTTTGGCTGCAGATTTGGGCAGTAGAAATAATGGGAATGGAATTTGTAACGCATTGTTCTTGACTGTCATCAAGCCAAATTTTGAGCACTGCCCTCTAGGCTTGTCAAAGTAATTACTATACCTTTTAATAATTCCCGCACGGTGCATTATGTCTTGGGCTTAATATTTATCATCTTCACATTTTCTTTGTAATATTGAGTGTTTGTTTCTTGGCATTGCAATAACCTTTGAGATTTGTCATGAGACTAAAACAATTAAAATCTTAATTTGAATAGACTCTTAACAGGTATTTTGATACCACAGAAATTATTTTAAAATGCACTTTTTTTTGTTGAAAAATTACAAAAGTATATAGCAGTACTTCTTAATGGTATAATCCATACTCATTCTGATCGGGATCAAAGTCTTCCAAAAATGCTCTAGAAAAACCCAATTTTGTCTAGAACATGAAATATTTTCAGAATTGATACTTGCTAGAATGAGTATCGAAATTCAAAAGTAGTGTTTAGTGTCACTCAATACTACTTACCTTTGACACTAAGCCTGTGGCATGCTTAATTCAGCTACTAACATCAAAATGTTATGTAATGTTGAACTAATTTGTATATGTATTCTTTAAAGCAGCTGGAAAGCGAACATGCTTTTCTCTCCTTATCTGAACCAGGATGTGAAGTTGTAATTACTATACGGTGACAAGCCCGTACCCCCAGAGAATGCAAGTGCGGCCCTTTGAAACACCTCGAACCACATCACAGTCATAGCTGCAAAAGCAGAGCCCCGCCCGCTGTTCACCTGTGCATTCCCGCTCCAATACACCTGAGGCTTTGTCATGTCACGCTGCCAAACAACAACCGCAGTGCAGCAAAGCCATGACACGGCAAACATGTCACATCTAGCATGGGCCACATTACTTGAAATCATTGTACTTCTTTTTTATAAAGATGGGTATGGCTCGCTGGAAAAGTACGGAAAAGTCTTTTGGCTCAATTCCTGTGAACACTGTGTTTTTTAAAAATTAATAACCGTTTTTGTTGGATCTTCAAATCTACTATTGGCAAATCAAACATTATGTACAATAATTGTGACTGTTTTCTTATGATAATTCCTACAGCTATTGTATTTAATGTTATTAGGTTTCTGATCAGCTTTAAGATTTTTTGCTTGAAAAAAACAATGAATTGTTTATATTCAAATAAATCTATTTTATAAAAGCTCGAACAAAATGACAATGGGCCATTCACCCCGACAACTTAATATCTTCATTTAAAACAATTAGTGCAGAGCTTTTATCTGAAACTTTACCCTTGGAAAATTGATAAAAGAAAAGTCAATTTGACTCAATATTTGGTATTAAGACTAATAAAAAGCTGTAGTAGTAAAGCAGCAAGACTAATCCAAACTAACCAGTCTTAGTACACCATGAAATGTAATGTCCTTTCGTTATTCTAATGGATTTTCTGTAATATAAGTGATTTAAATTGAATGAACACAGGATAGATAATTATGCATACAGCCCTGCTATGGTACAATCCAAACAAAATTTGAGATCAATATCTTGAATTCAAGTAATGTTTTAGCGGCGCACTGGGTTAGAGCAAAGCATTAGAAAGCCGAGGAGTGTGTGCTCAGTAAAAAGAGATGCTTGTGTGATTTCTGCTGTATACTCACATATTGCACACTCTGATGAATTGGTCAGTAAAATGAGGGATAAGTGGGTAAAGATGAGGACATAAACATATACAAGACACAATAAATAAATGAAAACATACAAATATATAAACAAATACATCATGACATGAAATATAGTAGTTTGTGCAATTGATTAAATATTTTTGTATTAGATATTGTGTGAAAGTGATATAAGTAAAAATGAAGAGGTTGAAAGCAAAAAGCAGAGGACAGGAACTCACCCGGTTTACCATGGAACTGCCTCTGGTAAGAGACCTAGAGCCATCCATCTGAACATGCGGGAACCAGGGGAGCATGGAGCAGTGCAGGGGGAAAAGGGGTGAGGAGGAGGAGGGTGGAAATTACAAAGAAAAAATAATAATCCAGGATTAAAGCAACAATTAATTGTACAAATTCAGTACAAACAGTATTAGTAACTGTATTCTATCATCCAAACAAATAGAGAAACGTAATATTCATAGAAAGAAGAGGACATAGTCGCCAAAACATGTACAAGCAGGAGTACAGTTCTTCAAGATGAAAATAGAGAATTTGGACTGAATGTGATTATCGGGGTCAAAACAATATAATGGGAAACGAGCAATGAAAACTTGTTACTGAGGGTATAGAGTCAATTACAAAGTCTTCAAAATGTCTCCTAATAACAGGAAACTCATCGTACCAGAAACCTTTTTGATGCAATCTAGTGTTTTTCTGTAACTAAAACAATAACATCCCTTTACTATATCATCTAACTCAATTTTCAGATATGTCCCCTATCAGATGTGACTGTGACTTGTACCTGTATTGCTTCTTTGGGACGTCCCAGAGTTCCACCTTTGTGAGAGGAGGCGACGTGTGCCAAATACTGGATCACCTTCTTTGTGTTCTCTGTTTTCCCAGCTCCAGATTCCCCACTGGAACATAAGCACACACCATCAAAGGGTGAAAAATACAACCATTGGGAAGATTCACTCTCAAATGCACTGATATAAAAGATAAGATAAGATAAGATAAACCTTTATTAGTTTCACAGTGGAGAAATTTCAGTGTCATCGGTGCGCACATTACAGCAGAGAAAGAAAATAAGAGCACTCAGATTGCACACATCAAAGTCTATTATTTAAGATAATAGACAATAAATTTAAAATAAAATAAAATTAGATAAACTCTGGGCTATAATTGCACTTGGTTCGCAGTATTTACAGATGTCTATATTATACATTAGCAGCGGAGAATATGAGAATATGAGCAGAATGAACATCAGAAATAATATCAACAGGTAAAGTGACTTGAATCGGAGAATTATCATATGGATATGAATATTACAGTAAGATAAAAATCAAAACAAAATCACCTGGGCAGAACAAATGGAATAATCGCAACAAGTAACAATTTTAGAGGAAAAAGTATAAATATGGCTGTTCAAAAGTTTGGGGTAACTTAGAAGGTTCTTATTTCAACAAAAACAAATCCTTTAGGGTTAGAGTTAGAGTCAAAAAACCCATGTCAATTTGGTATTCCTACTGGATATTCAATGGAACACCTTCATTTGTGTACAGAGACACATTATCAGCAACCATCACTCCAGTCTTAATACTATATTCGGACAAAATTGAGGATTAGAAAACCCTTTATGAAATTGTGTCATCAATATTGTGCAATATTAGATCACCTGACTGGGATGAATAAACACATAATGTCTGTTTGAATGGTAGCACATACAAAAACTGTACTCCTTTCCAATTTCATAGTTTTTCCGAATTCATAGTTTGCCATCAGAAGGAAAGAGGAAATAGGGGCTTTGTCACAATTGCTTCTTGTGGGAAACAATGGATGAAGCTGGAGCAAAAATAGCAGCTGTGACAGTCCTGAAGCATAGTCTTTGTCCCAAATTCACTCAGACACAGAGGATCCTCGACAAAGACAGGAAAGTCTGACAGGAAGACGACAGTAAAACCCCAAGGACTAAACCTGTCCACATGTTATTCAGATGGAAGCCTGACTGTGTAGGTCAATTCTATTCAGATTATAACTGTTTATTTTATATCATATATCATTAGAGCTCTCCATCGTTCGGTTCCAGCCACAGAGAAAGCTGTGTCCCATCGTCTTAGGCACTGAGCCTGATAGTCATGAGGTCTGATATGTAAAGCCAGTTCAATCAACTCATAGACACAAACAATGAAATCTATTCAAAAATGAACAGGAAGCCCGTAAAAAGCGGCAAGGATTGGAATGAGCCAAAAAGAGGAAATTTTGGTTAATCCTTGTAAAATTACCTATTCAATGCTCAGTAGTAGGGCATTGAACAAATATATGCATGCATGACATAAATAATTATATGATTAAATAGGTTTAATGAAAAAGAATGACACAAGTTTAAAGTTTAAAATCAGAATCCATAACAACGTCAAGGTTGGTGGCCATGGGTATGGTAGACCAGGTCTAACAAGGAGCGAGTACTGATGCTGGGCCCAAATACTGTATCCTATCCTTTGTTCATTCAGATATATATGATTGGAATATTAACATAACCAGTTTTGTAAATATTAAATGAAATAGTACTCACGTGCACAGGATGGCTTGATCTTCTCTGTCTGTAAGTAGAAAAAAGCTCATGAGAAAAACAGTACTTGTTATATGATGAACATATCTCTAAACTTGCCGAGCAGATTGGCAATTTTGTTCCGTTAGTATCATTATTTTAGTATTGATACTAAAATCGACAATAGTTTTTGATTTTCTAATCTTTTGACAACCCTGTTTGTACATGTTTTTAAAGATTCCAGATAAATACTGTAGAGAAATGTTATATTATCACCATAACACATTTATGTTAAACTGCCGTAATATTGTCTGAACATTTGTCAAATATTTCTATAACGGGTAATCATTTGTGTGAATCACAGCCCCATGTGTGGTATTTGAGATGAATGTGCGTGTCTGTTATGTCCAAACATGTGACCTCTGAAACACAGTAAGGGCATGAAAGCTGCTGTGGCTCGGGTAACATGGTCTCCACTCCCACAGACCAGTATTTAAACCATGTACAGTTACACACCAGACCATACCATAAAGTACAAGAACTCAGACTGAGACATAGCTAACCAGGGAGACGTCTAGTTCTTGAAGTCATAGAATACTACTCCATTTCAGACCAGATTCTATAATAAGTCTACTTTGGGAAACATTCTTACTATTATTTTGTATAATGCTGAGTTAGGGTTTACATAATATGAGCTATAGGGCTCATAGGGCTGTCACTAATGATTATTTTCTTCCATGACTAAAATATTATTTCATTTGCTTGGTGACTGCTGCTGTGTGTTATTGGGCAAGACAATTAACCCACCTCGCCCCCAGTGTCTGCGTACAATGGTGTATACTGTATGTGTGTGTGTGAATTTGTGATTGGTTTGTTGATGAACTAATGAAATGTGAAGTGCTGAAAAGGTAGAAAAGCACTATATTAATGTGACCATTTGATACATTTTGAAACATGTGTTACAACATGATGCTCAAGGCATAATAGATTTCAATTTTGTTCTGAATCAAATATACAGTTTTTCCATAACTGTCTTTTGGCAGGAGATTTAAAGCCTCTAAAGCCCTGTTGATGACTACAACTGTCAAAATTAAATAAGGAATATTTTCATTAGAAGTAGTAAAATCACTGCATAAGGTTGAATGTATTGACTTTAGATTTGTTTCAGTAAAAACTATAAACGCACTCCATAGCTGGTTTGCCTACAGGTATGTCGCCATTTTTGTCCAATCAAAATGAATGAGTCTTTTACTCATAGACGCCACAGTCCTCGCACCAGTGTCAGGCTGCATTGATGTCTCCTTTGCCTCCAGTCAACGTCAGCTGCTTTCGAATCAGACATGACGGGAGGCACGCGGCAGGTCACCCGCTGAACTGGTAGCTCAGGGACAGAGCAGACTCCTGGATGTCCCCATTGTTTTGAACTGTATTTGCAGTGGCTTTGATTCCCACACATTCACAGTGGAAGAATTTGCACTGGTCCTACAGGTTGAATCAGTCACACCTACAACCGCTCCAAGCCAGGTGGAGAATACAGACAGCCTTGTGTGGTCCAATAGTGTAACTTTAACATTGCTCAATCAGCTCCTACTTCCAAAGTGAAACATGTTTTTGTTAATTTATACATGGAATGACAGTTGCAGACAGAAAGAATACCTCTAATGCATATGAGATGACTAATGGGATTACCAAACTCAACAGATGGAATGATATCATTAGATTTACAGATTACGCACAAAGCACAGCCACACCTGGAATTCTCCCACAATATCTTTATTCTCTATTCATTTTGAAAGCCACTTACGCGTTTTATACCAGGAAATTACATTAGAGTGCTTTAACTTGCGGCTGTGTATCTAATCTGATATTAACATTGCTCAAATCAGCTACAAATAAAGCATAGGTGAAAAAGTTGCTCAGAGTGAATCCACTTCTGTAACATGAAGTTTAAAAAGTGACTCACAAAACACTGCTAATCCACAAGAAGAGTCTTTCCCTTTTTCTACTTGATGTTTGAAACGACCAGCAGAAGATGCAAGTATAAACTCTTTAGGAATGTTGTAATTAGAACCAAGAGCCTAACTCTTCATTATTTGAACAGAGATTATAACAGAAGGATGATCGATACAAAAACTGAAATTACTACAATTAATCAAACAAAAGACATGTCTATGAACAAGAGCTGACATGTTGTTTCATTGTAGCTTAGAGTTATCGTCATAGCTTTAGCTCGTGACAATAATTAGGTCAGCTCGTTCATTTCAATGGAAAATCTGTTGCTTGAATGACTTAATACTTTCACTAGTGCTACTATTTAAGGCCATTCCACATGCTTTTATTCAACACGAGTGAGAAGAAAATCCACTATTACTGAGCTACTTCAGAAAGCGTTAATTTAGTTGTTACTCAAAAAATAATGTCACCTGAAGACAAATTGAAGCGTTTACTTTTAGATTGTGTCCCATCACTTGTTGCACTTCTTTTCACACCTCTCCATCACAACAAGTCGTTTGGGTTTGTGATGTCAACTGTAGACTGTGCTATACAACACCATCCATCCATCCATCCATTTTCTTCCCTTTAATCCATTTCTGGGTCAGGGGGGTGGCAGTCAGAGATGCCACCCAAGTCTCATAGCACCAGCCCCTCACTGACCCTCTGCAGGTGGTGAGTCCACAGGAGGACGGCTGCTCTCTGACTGTGAGCATAGCCTTGATCTTTCAGTGGGGGCTTTGGGCAAAGTGGGGTTAAGTGTCTTGCCCAAGGACACAACGACAGCAGTCATCAGTGGGAGTCGGTGGAGAAGGTGCAGAGGTGGGAATTGAACCCACAACCTTCTGGCCTTAAGGCCAATGCTCTACCTTTTGCTTTTTTTAACGCAGATTTTGGGTCCCTTTCTGAGAATGGCTCTAATTATGAGAATTACAGAACACAGTGCTTTGGTTTCATAGGACTGGGATTACATTAAGTGACTGTGAGGATATAATAATTGTGGTGGGAACACGCCTTCAGGCTGGGATCAAAGATCGCAGGATAAATTCTTGTCCATTATCCTAGCTGCAGCACTGATAGCAGGTAAGCCGTATATCACCTGAGGTCGTTGGATTGAGATAGCACGGATTACCTTGCAGCATGCTCCGATAGGCCGCCTCTGATATGGCATATATGTGTGGGGGCATCTCATGACGCTTTTTCCCTCGATACATCTCCACAATGGACTCTGTGTAGATCGGCAGGTTCTTGTATGGATTTATCACCACACAGAAGAGGCCTGAATATGTCTGCAAAATGAGAAAAAATACAAATAAATTAATAATATGATTTTAGACTAGTTATGGCACAAACATTTTTGACTCTAAGAAAAAGGTCAAAAATCCATATCAATTTTGTGTCAAGAAACTTAGCAATAACAAGTATTTAAATATTCAAATGTGTATGGTAGTAATGTAAAGTCACTAGAGGCAGAAACAGCAGAATAAATCAACGGTAACACCATGGAGATATCATGAATGACTTCACTGGAAGAATGCATTTGATTGACGTGTAAGTTAATATAAGGAAAGACTACAGGACAGAGTTGAAGCTGCCTTGCCCCATTCCTGATAAGCACAGAGGTAAGTTTACATGTAATAGTGGAAGATTAAAGTGTAGCTGAGTGTTTTTCTGCAAGATTGGGTGAAAATTAGTCAATTATAATAGGTTACACATCAACTATTCTCCTTAACTTTAGAAGAATTTCTCATAGAAAACTGAACAATCATCATGACATATCAGATCATCAGCTCAGTCACTGCTCCTATACAAATAAACTCCTACATAAGTTTGACAAGTGTACTTATGGTGTTTTATTTCAGCTATAGTGAAAGTAATGTACGGCTCTAAACTATTCCAACAATTCTGCTCACCACTCCAACAATACAGGGGGTTAGAGTTCACCAGAAACCATGCTTTTCCCCCAGTTGCCAAAGTCTACTTCTTTAAACGAAGTTAAGAATTCTTCTTTCGGAAATTGGCCCAAAAAAGTGTGAGTTGCGTTTTATCCTGAAGGTTTTATTCTGAAGGTTTTCTTCTGAGAAGTTTATTCATATCAAAACTATCTTTTTTTTTAGTTTTTTGTAATAAGGGTTTTGTGTTAATGTATTCATAAATATGCGCATATCTTTAGCAGGAGACACAACTGGTTGCTTCTTTTTTGGGACTTGAGTCGCTGTCTGGAGCTATTTATTTCAACAGCTTCTGACTGGGAACCTCCCTCAATGTGACAACAGACCCTTCAGAATCACAAGCTCCTACACTCTTTCAGTGGACGCAGTTCACACATCTCCAGTCCAATCAATATCTTTTGTCAATATTGCCAATTTCACAGTTATATTATTATTTACCATTTCCTTTTTTGGTTTTTGTGTTCTGTGTTGACTTTAGCTGTCAGTTTAAAGTCTACATAATGATGATTGAAAACAACTGTATATTCAAGCAGCTGTATGTCTGCTTCTCGACCAGTATACAATAAGCATACTAAGTTAATTTACAGTGTTTAATGTATGGAAATCTATCATTTTCACTCCATTATTTTCAGAACACTATAGGAGCAGAGCCTATAGACAGCCCCCTTCTCCACATGCGCTCATAAACAGCCCGTAAACTGACACTCAGGCCTGGATCAGTTGCACAGTAGATGCCATCACATTCAGTGCACACAAGAAGACTTGACAACATTTGTGAAAACAGCAATCCATCAATTTACTGAAATACTACAGTATATGTAATCAAATGAAAGCTGAGGGTGCAGTTGTACAAGTAATGTAATCTGCATACAGAAGTTCTTTCAAACAATAAATGATCCCGTTATAAACCTGCTAACTTAAATTCTTACATGTTACATAGCAAAAAATAGGGATATATTCAATACTTGCTGGACTATTAAGCTAAATTTGAGAAGGAAGTACATTCTGTTCTGTAGAGCAACAAAGTATGTGTTTGTCCTCACGGTCACAACTATGTCCAGAATCCCTGTGAAACCTGCCAGTCACCCTGCTAATGTTCAAATACAAGTGCTGTGTGTGTGGAGCTGATCTAGAGCCAAGAGCTGCTAGAAAAATAAAAATCATGTTTCCATGTGTTTTGACTGGGAGATGCATCACTGCGCTAGCAAAATTAGAAATTTTCTAATTGTCTATCGTTAGGAATCCATTCTAAGTAAGGCGCAGCCTCGCGTCAATACGTCCGTCATAGGTGCGTATAACAGTAGTAGTGTAATTATCACCATAGGTTAAAATAGAAAAATGTTACGTGCGTCTGCTGCGCGTGGAAATGAGCAGTTACAGTCTAGCAATAACTGTATTTGTTTGAACTAAGAAGTTGGAACATTGGAACAAAGAAAGTTGCAAGAAAATTAGACATGTTTGGTATTTTGCGATATCCCATTTAAGTGTACTGAAATCAAGATAAATACTAATAATGACAAATGAAGTGATAAGAAAGTGACATTTTTAACACAATCCAAGTACTATGAGCCAGCGGACTGTACATTGTGTTCTATTTTTTTAAGGGTAGATTTTCTTTCTTTTGTCAAGATACACACTTACGTATATTAAACCAGAGTAGTATCTCTCCCTCAGGTTGTGTAGGACTGAGGCTTCGTTGAGGCAGGTTAGGTCGGCCATGTCCTCCACTTTACTGAAGCGAGGGGGGTTCATGCGCTGGACATCTTCTCTGGACAGAGTGACCAGCTTCTGAGTGTCGGTTAACTCCACCTCAATCTCATCGCCGCGCTCCTCGCGAATACTGGCCGACTGTAAAGGAAAGGAGGACAAGATTAAAGGATTAATAATAGACAGACTACAGAAATAATGCCCTAACCCTAAAAGTGTATTTGTATAGCACAATTAGTTCCCAAAGAAGTTCAAAGTATAAGAATCGTTAAAATCATGTAAACTAATAATAAATATTAACAGTACATATTTAAAGAAGCAGTATATACAGCTGGACAGAATTTTGAACAGAAGAGGCCAGTCCGGTCTCACATTTTCAAGAAGACTGTTCAAGACTCTGACATGGGGACTCTCCATCCAGTGTGGGTTAAATTGTTAATATTGATTTTGAAACCATTCCTATTGGCTTGTAAGAGATGAGCTCAGAAACCATTATTAGTCCTACAAATGGACATTTTGGTGTTGCAATGCACGGTTAAAAGGTCAGGAGAAATAACAGAAGCACTCAAACAAGAACCATCAAATGTGTGGACGCTCACTCTGCTTCGTCTGAGGACCTGTGCTTCATTGTGATTTGTTAAGCTCATCTGTCACTCACTCAAGGTGGGAAAGTCGCCGACCAATATGATTTGTTTGCATTTATTTTAGCACTATAAAGAGGAGCAATATGGAGGGCACATTTTTTCCCTAATGGAAGTTAGTTGTGTTTTCACAGTTCTATTCTAAAAATAAATGTTTGTTACTATACTATTAAATTTTCTAATGGGTCATTCGCAATATGTTCTTAGTGCATTTGTGTGATTTAGAAAGAAAGCGAAGAATTACAGATAGCAATGCCTTTACTTGGATGAATAAATAATCTTCTAGTATTGCTAATGATAGGGATCAAGAGGTGCGTCATTTTATTGATAGAAATCCAACCCTGTATAGTCATCCCTGTTATTTCCGGGCTGTCTTAAACTTACCCTGTGCATTACACTAGAGACTAAACAGAGCCGAGCAAATCAATAACATGTCAAGCGTCTTGTGATACTCATTACAACTGCGAGCCCTGAATGCATCACAAGACTCTGTTGAGAAGAGTAGGGGAGAAAGGAAGAGAAAACGCAGCCTTCTGGTGTGAAAGGGAGATGATAACAACAGATAAGAAGTGCACCCGGAGCGGGAGACACCCTGAGATGGCCCCACCCCTGACACTCCTCTGACATAATAGACATACCTGAGCTAATTATTTACACAGGCATCAATGTTGTGATGTTATGGCAGGAATGTTACAAGCACTGACCCAACGTGAGATACAGATCAGAAGTTCTAGTTTACAGTGGTTTACTAAAATAGGACTGAAACCAGGACTACACTGGGATGTGTGTCTGTACTAGATGAGCGAATAATGAAATACTAACAATTGCAGGACATGAATCGGGACTGAAAAGAATTAGGATAGAACAATAGAACGAAGACTAATACAACTCAGAACTTAACCAGGACTAAACTAGTGGACACAAAAAGGAATAAACCAAGACAAAACAAGGAAATAAACATAAAATTGGAAGTTACAAAGGCAGCAATAATTGCTGTATCAGTGTTTTCTTGTAGTATTAGTTTAAGAGGACATCAGGTAGACTTCATGATTGTGTCTGTCTTGTGTGTGTGTAAGGAGGCTTGTGAACACAAGAGCTCACCTCAAATCCCTGCTTTTCTGATGGCACCCACACCAGCCTCTTAGCCGCCCAGTCTGCCTGACTCGCTGCTGTGAAGGCCGAGTTGGCGGTGGTATTAGTCTCCCCTGACGACAGGTAGTGGGAAACATCGTTGGCAACGCCCCCCGTCAACGTCCTCGACATTGTGAAAGCAGCTGTCAAAAAATAATAAAAGATGTTCAGACACAAAAGAAATTGGGAATATTGTCAAAAGTGCATATGTGTGCATCAACCAATGAAATATTCAATCTTCAGATGAATATCTGAAAAATAAAGGTGCGGTGTGTAGATTTTATGTTAGGTTTGGAAGATTCCATTATTTATGAAGATGGAATTGTTTTGGCTTGAAATAACATCTAGTTGCTTCAACTATACAGTAATTTATCAAAAGAATGATATACACCTTTATGGGAAATCTGCCAACACCAGAAAAGTAATGGAGTGCACCTTTAGGTTTTAACATCATGTGAATGGACCATAACACAGACCACAATAAGAGCATGAATGCCACTTTATGAAAACAGCAGTTTTAGCAATATATATATATATTTTTTTCAGATTCAGAGCAGTACTAGAAAAGGACAGAACCAGGTCTAAAATAGACGTTCTACAACTAGTAAACAATTTAGTATTCAAGTACGTTAAGGAAAAGTAAGTACAAGATTCAGGAGTTATATATGATAAACTCTTTAACAATATTGATCATTTTCAATAGCAGGCATTTTCAAGTGCCCTCTATTGAAGACAAAGACATAATAGTGTGATTTATCTGCAAAATACATTAAGGTAGGCACCCTTAATTTTCCCTGAGTAATTAATTCATTACAAGATCAGAGCATTGATTTCCAGCCAGTGTTCAGGGCTATGTGTGCTTTCGAAAAATACTTTTCACACAATCGGGATCAGACACAGGGACAATCAAAACCATGTCTAAACCAATCTAAACCATATTTTGCATAAAGTTTAATTTTTTTGCATTTTTGTAGTAGACCTGAGGCGTAAAGGAACAAGATCCAAAAACTGTCTTCTCTTTGGCTTCTGGAGGATTATAATGATTGAAGAAGTACCATTCCTAATCATTTTCATGATACATAATTTTGGAAACACTCATGGAAAAAATATCAATACAAAAATGTCTAAATCTGATATTTTTCCTATTGAAATTCAGTATACAACATGTGGGCCTGCAGTACAAAAAATACCCTACATTTCCTTAAAAAGTGTTAATGGGTGTGTTGATAATTGAGCAAAATTGAGATTGCAATCCTTCGATCTTTACATTTTTGGCACTGCCCTAGTTTAACCCCCCTTCACTTTATATCTGCATCTTCACTTTCACCACTGTTATAGCTCTAGTTCAAAAAAGTGGGTGAGCCATTCCTCCCATGAGGCCGTTGGACAACATAACACAGTGACACTGATCTGTCCAGACAGCACATGCACACTTCAGTCACCCAAAGACAGTAGTAACAGTATTCGAGGAGAGCAAGAAGGCCAAACCACAGAGGAGGAAGAACCCTGGACTAAAACAAGTGGAGTAGAAGTTAGAAATGCAGTGGTGTGGAGGGGGAGAGGATATATCACTAAACTGACACGACAAGGAGCCTTGGAGGAGCCAGAGTGAAAGAAGAGAAAGTACTTTGATAGATGGATTTGACAAAATGGATTAAACTCTAAGAGGACAATTAGCCTGTGATGATACATTGTATCCTGTGATAAATTTCCCATGAACAAAATGCTGATAACATCAAAAGCCTAAAAATGGTTTCACAAAATATATTGTAAATATTGTCTTGTTCCTTATCATACCTTATTAGAGGAATCAAAGAGATGAACATGACAACCAAACACATAGCCTTATGAGATTTTATTACATCATGTATGACACAACTGAATACAAATCAAAAAGAAAGACCGTACTAATATAATATAATTTCCTAACTTTATTTTGTTGATTATCTCTTCATTTTAATGACATAATATCAATTATATATTTGTAACTGATATCACTGGGATCTAAAATACACAACAGAGATTTTTATACTGATACTGTCTGGAACTGCAGGTCGGGGACTGTCTGCGCCCTGGTTGGGAAGCAGTTGTATAATCAATAACAAAAAGACTAAAGTCTTAACACATGCTAACTGGGGCTAAAGAGGGAAAGTAGGTCAAAATTAAGAAATGGGCTAAGTATAAAACACATGAAAATCAGCCTTAAATAAGCTATAACCGATGAGTGAACCAGGACTGAGTCTAATCAGAGCTAACAAATTACAAAACTGGAACTATACTTATTTGTATTTGACTTAATATTGTTTTCGCAAAAGAAAAAAAACACAGACTACATTTGTAGTTGAATACCAAACAGTCAGAATACGTTGACTAAATCCATTACTATTATAACTATTTTTACCACTAACTTATCACCATTGTCTGTAGCTGTAATCATCATTGACAGTTAGATGTTTGTGTTGCCGGTAACTATTAGGCGTCTCCATGCCTCGTCAGAAATGTCATCAGGCTTGATTCCTGCTATGCATCCAAGTCTGACTCCTTTCTACACTGTCTGTTCATGTCAGGTTTCTGCCATTAGAGGTGCAGAAAGTCATTCACAGTTACATAGTACAGTTACATTTTGAGCAACTTTTTTGTAGAATTTGTACATGATTGTACTGTGTTCACAGTTATTTTACCGTAAAATTACCGTAATAATGAGAATACAACTATGTCTCAACTCAAAATTCAAACTAGCACTTGTACAGGCCCAAACCAGGCCCACTTTTCACTCAAAGTGCTTTGTGTGACCCTATGTGTTATATAAATAGAAGATGACTTAATTACTTATACATCTTGATGTCCAACAATGTCAAAACATTTTAAATCAAGAGCCACACGCTGAAACATTGACAACTTTATGAATTCAGCATAAACAGAGACACCAGCCCTTTACTCGGCTTTAGATGATATACAGTAATGGCTTAATAATAACAATACATAAGATCATAAAAAGGTAATAATAAAAACACTACATAGTATGGTGCTACTGACCAAGAAGCCTTAGGGACAAAAAAGAAAGCTCTAATGCTGTGATTGGCCCTAGATGAGGAGGGGTAGCAAAGATTATGACTAGATGGTACAAAGAGAGAGTGACTAAGTGCGTAATACTTTCACCAAATACTACTCGACCATAGCTGTTACTGTGACAAAGTTACTGGATGGGTGTGTTGACAAAGAGTTGGCACCACCCAGTACTAGTCACTGTGGAAAATATGTGCTCCACTGTGGGATTGGGCTGCTTAACATTGTTGGCACCAGTTATTACATTGTTGTTACAGTCTTTAAAATGTCCTCATAATCCACAAAATACACAATCCATAAGAGGTCTATAACAAGACTATTTACCCAATATTAAGATGGGATCTACTATCACCCATCCCATTAAGCTCCCGAAAGGAAAATGATTACAACACCAGAGCCAGGACAGGTTGGTGCAGTGCTGCCAACACTCTAAGGAAACCCGTCCTGCAGCAGCTGCAGGGTTTTTGAGCCCAAAAGCAGTGAGCGGGACCCCAGACAATGCCCTCCCGGTTTGAACTGAGGTCATCCACTGCGGGGGTCCTCCTGATGTGTGTGTAATCTGTGCGTCTGCGTGCGCCGTGGCGATTAGACGTTTTTAACAAGCAAAATCAGAATAAAGAGCAACATCTGCTCTGATAATGTGGATAAATGAGTGACAATATTAAGCTGCTAGAGTAAAAAACCTCCGCAGAGCACGAGAAGCAGTCCCTGTAGCTGAATTCACCTGCATTTGTTCAACAAAAACTGACGGGGCCAACCACACCTTGACATGAACAATCACATGGGCCACTGCTTTAATGAGCCATTTAATTCTGCTGTTCAGGGGAAAGGGTGGGTTCGGCTATTATCATTACTGTCATTATCATTAACCCGTTATGACCAACCCCTGGAATGACCCTCATAATTGACGAAAGATCAAACAAAATAATATAAGGGACCTTTGCCACCCAGTTTTAGGCAGTAAGCTACCGAATTTAGATTGACCTAGCGAGGTTAGCCAACGTCTTCGAAATATGAGACGTTTAGGATATCAGAGCAATTTCTGTGATGTATTCGAGTAAAAGAATGGGACGGTCTTACCTTCAGACCCCCTGCAGACGCTGAGTCAGACTGAGGCACACGGTGGAGCAAGTCGGGCTGATTCTGGGCTGTTTTCTGTCTGAGGTGTGTTGCTTACCGCATATGCGGCTTTTATCATTGCACCGCTCACAGAGGAGCCGCACACACTTGTACCGACAGCAGTGAGGGCAAAGCAGCAGCTTCAGTCCGGGCGGGACGCTTCCTGCTGAGCCACCAACCACAGAGGAGACGGGCAGGATGTAGTCGACTGAACTTCAGTCTAATCCAATCGTAGCGCACGGCAGCGGCATTAGCCCGCCTCATGAAAGCTCCGGCACACACGGGCCGTGCTGTCCGCCCTTTCAGCGGCGGTGAAGGCTGTGGTGACGAATGGTGTCCAGCAAAGGGAAATACGGCCCATTATGAACCAATCACAAAGAGCTGGAGGCGGGCTTTAAGTTGACAGACATTAAACACAGCCACACACGAGCCCGGAACAGGTGCCGAGCCGCGCGAGCGGAGATGTGCGCCTCTTTGTTTACCGCCCAAGGCAGTATGGACAGTCTCCTCACGGGGGCAGTATACATTATTGATTAACCAGTATGAGCAAAATATAGACATTTATTTTCAATACATTTAATATACATTTTCGTTCAATGATTGTTGATGAATGATTTTTCCTAATTGTGCTGAGCACTTTGTGGGTGTGCAATTTCCACATGACAATCGAGTAATTCATATTAAAATTGGTTTAATTAGGCCTAAAAACTAGTTAAACATTTGTAAAATTGCACATTTCATTGAGTTGTTGTGAACAAACAATTTACAATTAATCAGAAATCCACTATGAAATAGCATTTCCAAGATAACAACTTTACATCAGTAAGTCAACCCAAATGGAACTTACATAAAAGTAGCTCTTGAATCAAAAAGGCTAAACTCTAAATTTATGTGGATTGCTCCAAAGGCACTGCCCTTAGATTCTTTAAGCCATTTGTTACATTCTTGTTGGGTACACATAACACATCAATGTGTGAAGCTGCTGTGCAGTTAATATGCAAGGAAGTCTTTGCCCAATATTTAAAAGGTTATTGCACCAAGATTTTGGATTTCTGTAAAAATGAATGTATAGATAAAACAATCTTATACACAGTAAAATAGACAACAGATTTTCCTGTATAAGCACCTTCTAGTCCAAATTTGCACATAAAGAGTTAAAGAAACAAAATACTTACCATTTGAAAACCTTTCATTGAAAGTGACATAAGCCTTGAACAAAGTTAAATTTCTACCCCTTTTCGCTAAAGTGCGGTTACATGTTTGAGTCGCCAGGGGGTGGTGTTGGATTATGCTCAGTGCTGTGATGTAGGGCCAGATGGAGACACGTCCCTGAAGATTTTGGCAAAGTGCCAGGACCAATGGTGCAGAGGATTAGTCAGCTGTAGTTGACATCTTGACAATCGAAATAGTTTCATTCAGCTTTTTGATCCAAGGTCAGTTGTAGTGTAGATGCCCCAACCCCAGCAATGGCGTTTGCGTTGGTGGAGAGGAGGATTTTTGGTCAAGTTCAGAGGACACAAGTTGAAGGGCCACCTCATTCTCATAACAAAAAGATGATCCTGAGCTGTGGATATTCTTCTGTTCATTCAGCTCTTTTGCACTGCAGGAGGGCGTACTGGGAACTTTATATGTCCTGTTAAAGAAAGAGTAATCCACCTGAAAGATACAACAAATTAGCAATTATGGCAAACCGTGAATGTCTACACATGTGGAAATGTATTTATTGATGACACAGACCTGGTAACCATCTTTCCTCTCAAAGAGCACTGGCTCAAAGCGATGCCCCCAGAGGATTTCAGACGCCAAGTAGGAGCTGCGGCATTGGGTCGTCATGGCTGTGGCCTCCACCATTCCCTCCAGAATTACCACCACCTCCAGCTCAGAGTCCTTTTCCAGGGCACTTTGGTCCATTTCGTAAAAAGGAGATTCGTTGTTGATTTCATGGACAACCGTCACGGGGGAAACCACGAAGATACGATCGATGCCAGTGTCAAATCCCACATTGATGTCAACATTGTCCAGAGGAAGATACTCTCCCTCAGTGGTCACCCTGGACTGAGAAATAATATAGAACATATAACAGATTATCGAATCAAAATGTGATAATATCAAACAGTATATTTTCCTAAAACCCCCACATAGCTACAGTATAATTCTCTATACCAGGTTCAAAAAGTCTCACATTCTAGGCACAGAGCTAGCGCTTACTAAAGAGTATTCATATATTTGAAATGACAATGCAAGGATATTGGGTTATGGAAAAGTAGATTATGTTGGTCCTAAAATTGATCCTTGGGGAGGGTTCCCCAATATGACATACAATTCTCTATGAAGTACAATATGGCCATCTACAGTGTAAAACGCTGTGAGAATTCATACGATCAGAAAAGACACAAGTTTAATAAGTATTCAGAATGAAATATATACTATGTTGAGTTCTAAAACCATTTTTGCAATATTTTTAAGTCAACTCCGGCTTACAGGTTTCATTAAGCCTTGGGCCACAGAGTGAAAAAGAAAGTAGCTATGTACTCACAGTTACCCACAGTTAGTATACAGTATTAGGTAAATAAGATTCTTTGCACCTTTGTATGGATATGCAAATATATGTCAGACACAAGAGGTGAGAGATATATGGAAAGGAATGGTATGATACATTTTTTTGTCATGTGTAATGCAAAAATGGGTCTGATCTGATGATTTAAAATTAAACAAAAGGAGCGCAAATTATTAGGATATTAATTTCATGCAATAACCAAACCTCAACCAAGTAATATTTTACTACAATTCTGGATTGCTGTCCACCCTATATGATCAGAAAATCACTATGGACAATATTCACTCAGAGAATTGTGCTCTGATGCTTGACTCACTAAACAGTCACACTAAGATCCTTTCACTGAACAATATTCAAATTAATCCTGATATTCAACCTCATTCTATGACCCTTGCAAACTTAATCTGATTTGCCCCTCGTGAACTTAGACGGATCAAATGATGTAGGCTTTATCCCCAGAGGGTCTCTATCCTGACCCACAAGCATAATCATCATCAAATTTTAAATCCCCCATAACAAGTCTTTTTGTGATATTGACAATATTCTAACGCTTGAATAGAAGTAGAAATGTCCCAATGCTGAAAAACTTAACTTGCATTTAACATTTTAAGAGATCCTTTGTTCGTTCGGCTGTCAGACTGTACAACAGACCTGGATTAGTCTTCTCTTGCTTGACAACTGAATTTCTCCTACGGCGGATCAATAAAGTATCTATCTATCTATCTAACTAGCGTTATATGCAAGTTCATATGTTCTGTTTATGTGAGGCTAACCCTGAAAGGTTTATAACTGCGGGCAGAAATATAGATATATATTTAAAAAAAAATTCTAATCAGATGGCCTCCATATGCATCAATCTTTTCAAAACTTGAGTGCAACTAAGGTGCATTCCTCCTAACCTTGTTATGACCGGATTAATTCATGACTTTCCCAGAATGTTACATAACATTCATAGAACACTTAAGCTGTTAAAAAGGATTTTAAAAACATATTTGCATAAGTTATGGGGCTCACCTTAAGAAACTGTGCCCGGACATGAGCCTCCACGAGATGGCTCTTGCGGAGGTTCCCCACTCTCCACATCATGCAGAGTTTTCCGTCCCTCATTGCCACCACTGCTGATTCAGAGAATACAAGTGTCTCATTGCGCTTCTTGGGCTTAGCAATCTTTGCCATAACCGCTCCGATGATGAAGGCGTCAATGATGCAGCCCACAATGCACTGCAACACGACCGCCATCACCGCCAGGGGGCACTCTTCAGTCACACTCCGAAAGCCGTAACCAATAGAAGTCTGTGTCTCCAGAGAAAACAAAAAGGCTGCCATGAAGCTGGTCACTTGATGAAAACAGGGCTCCACCACCTCTTCATCAGGCTCTGCTCCGGCCCCAGCTTCTCCTGCAGAAGAGGAGCTGCTGGGGCTGTGGTCCAGTCGAATGGAGAGGTCCCCATGCGCAGAGGCAATGAGCCAGAATGTAAATCCAAAAAGCAGCCAGGAGAGGAGGAAGGAGAGAGTGAAGATGATCAGCATCCAGCGCCAGCGGATGTCCACACAGGTGGTGAACAGGTCGCTGAGGTAGCGCTGACCCCTCTCGCTCATGTTGACAAAGGTGACGTTGCAGCGTCCATCTTTGCCCACAAAGCGCTGTCGAGGCCGTCGGCTGGAGCGCCTTGTTTGGCGACGGCTGGCGAAGGCAGAGGACAGAAAGGTCCGGTCCTCTGTGCCCCCAACACCAGCCACTCTGCCTGGGGCTGACACCCCGCACTCTCCTCCTCCTATTGAGTCCTTGAAGGCACTCTGCCTCCGGGCATTTTTGGTGTTGCTAAGTAGAGAAAGAGCTTTTCCATTGAACACAAGTGTTGGGGAAGGACTGCTGGGGCTTCTTGACCCAGTTGGGCTCCCCTCCACTGTGTCCGCAGCGTTCTGTGCCAGCCTCATGACCTCCTCTTCATCTACTGGCCCATCCACCACAGCACTGAAGCGCCGCTTCACACGAGCAGCTCCCATCCTGAACAGTCTGACAAGTGCAGTTCAAACAAACTTGTTGAGAAGAAACTGTTTATTCTCTCCAAAACGGAACTCCAGTCTTCTGCTTAGAACGCTGCTTTTTTATTTAAACAAAACTGTATAAAAGCATAAACTATGAAACAATAGAGGGGGAAAATAATAAATCAGGAGTAATAAAGGAATTAAAAAGCTGAAAGAATACAAGGCATGCAGGTCAGGAGCAGTGAGAATGCGGGTGATAATATTTGGTCATCACAGACATCATGCAATGTCAGGGTTTAAGAGTCTTTTAGGTCTAACATGCAAATCAAGAAAAAAACATGCCTATTCTTACAATGTCTTTTCCCAATATCAACCTGTTAAGCGAGACACAGGGATAAAAGGATGTTTTACTTTCATTGTGAAGCGCTTTTGTGTGACCCTAGTCCGTTAAATATAAGTTAATTACATACTAACGTACTTACCAAATATTTTCTTTAATGACTTAACACTGTTCAAATATTGTGCCTAATGGGCAAGCTTAAGGAGTAGAAATTGTGTTTTCATACAATTCTTTAAGTATCTAAGTTTCAGAATAAAATAAAACTTTAAGAAAACATAAGATTCACCTGATCAGTCACCTGTCACAGACTTGTTGTTAAACTTCTGCATAAGCTGTGCATTTGTATTCCGCATTTCCGGTCAAATCACATACAACATGGAACAAAGAAGGAGTGATAGCAAACCAACTTAAATCAGGTTATTCAAGAAAAGCAAAGCGATGCATACAGCTATTTTGTCAGAGATTCCCCCCTCTCCCAAGATAAAAAAAGTACTTGATGCCTGAGTCAGAAGCTTGGAGGAAGTCTACAACAAGTAGAAATGTGGAAAGAGTTCCCTCCTGAAGTGAATGGCCTCATAAGGATTCATCTTGACTTGAAGCGAGTGCAGCCAACACACTAGGTTTTGATGCACGAAGACATATGAGTGGAGGAAAGACAGAATTTGGTAATTCAATCCATTCCCTAACACAAAACAAGAGACATAGGATTAGAACCACAGGCCTGCAATTGTAATAATAATTCAGCTTCAATCTAAAAAAGATGTGCCACAAACGGAATCACAATGCTCATGTGACTTAAGTGAACATTTAATGTAAAGTGATGTTTAGAGTGTTACTATTTTGCTTGTAAAGGCATCTGCTAACAACATATAGTGTTGGCACTGATCAATAAAATTGTGTTGTGGGGGCAGCAGGGTGGCGCAGTGGTTAGCACTTGTTCTGACTTCATTCCACCTCCAGGCCTTTCTGTGTGGAGTTTCCTCCGGATACTCCGGTTTCCCCTACCACTAAAAACATGCACAATAGTTCAGGGTGAATGAGTGTGTGTTTGTGAGTGCGAGTGTGGGACAACGGCTGCAAATAAGAAGAGTTGTGTTCATTAACATGCACTGTCCCAACGTGCAGCAGAAGCAAAATGCCAAGTTGTAATAAACAGACACATGCGAGCAAAATAATGCAGCAGACCAGACTTTGATGTAAAATATTTCAAGTAATTACTATATACTTTTCATAATTTTTCATTTTTTCCTATTTTTTGGTTGACAAATAAGTACAGTATAACATTATCATAGCACCCTGCTGATTGTATTGCTTTAAGTGAAAATACTTGTATTATTTTGTAAGCATGGTCCATTAATGACAAAAACAATTATAATGTGTTGGTAGAAAAAATGTACTGGATGAAGCAGTGATGCTACCCAGAATGCATTGCAGAGCAAAATACAAACTATCCTTTTGAAAAATTCTACATGAGCCTTAGTTTTGAGAGTGAATATGAACTAACTCGGTCTAATGTAAAATACTTACAGATGCAGTCAGTGATTTTTTCCAGACACATTTTTTTAAATATTGTGGGAAAACGTCCCTAAACCCTAAAGTTATCATGTGTTTTCAAATAGTAATGGAATTGACCAGATGCCTATAGCCTCCAAAAATCAATACAAAATATTTTGGAGCGGACCTGTTTCTCGCGAGTGCACTCACCTGAGTTATCGGATTTTCTAAAAACCTAAAAGGGCTGAACAGAGAAGGCCAATTTCACGTTTGCCACCCACTCTCCCTGTTGTGACAAAGAAAAGAAAATGCTGGATGTTTGGTTTGGTGGAGAGGCGAGGGGAGGGGGGAGTGGTTTTTAATTGGTGCTACAGCTAAGCTAACAATATCGCTTACTGCACCTTTTAAGCAAAATTTTGAATAAACTCATTAAACCAAAATTTGTATTTATTTTTATCAAACGTAATTGAAAGGACTAAGCCAAAGTAAGCTTATTCAAACTACCTAGGTCATTTACCTTAATTGTTCAACTAGGCAAGGGTCAATGTGCTCGCAAGATGTACTTTGTTTAAAGAAGCACTGGCTGAGTGGTTAGCACACTCTCCTCCGAAGCAACCACCCATAAAAATGTAGCAATCTAAGGTCCTGGGTTTGTAACCCATTCGAAACAGGGCCTCTATGGGTGGAGTTTGCATGTTCTCCCTGTGTGTCTGCGTAGGTTTCCTCTGAGTGGAAGTTATAGTTTGGCTTTGAATGAACACAATAATATTAAGTAAATTGATCACTTCAGAGTAATGGTTTTGGATTCTGTCAAATGCAATTTAATATTTGTTATTACTTAATAAAGAGCTGAAGTAGACAGTGCACAAAAAGGCTCATGGAACCTCCTACAACGATTTTTTTAATTTATGATTTAAGCAACTCTTTTTAGGGTGGTTTTATACAGACCTGGACAAAGAAATGAGTCACACAGTCAACAGCTCCATGTCTATCTGATGATTTAAGAAGCCTGAAAAACACATGTGCACAATTATTATTATATACTTGAACTAATTCTACGCATTTTCCAAACAGGAATTCATAACAGCAGCAAGTAAAAGTTATGTTGTGCTTGAATAAGTAGAGACTGTTCACTACTCAATGTCCAAACAAAGCCTTTCCTTGACAGCCTTAGAAATATCCATCCATCCATCCATCCATTTTCTACCCTTTAATCCATTTCTGGGTCAGGGGGGTGGCAATCACAGATGCCACCCAAGTCTCATAGCACCAGCCCCTCACTGACCCTCTGCAGGTGGTGAGTCCACAGGAGGACGGCTGCTCTCTGAGTGTGAGCATAGCCTTGATCTTTTCAGTGGGGGCTTTGGGCAAAGTGGGGTTAAGTGTCTTGCCCAAGGACACAACGACAGCAGTCATCAGTGGGAGTCGATGGAGAAGGTGCAGAGGTGGGAATTAAACCCACGACCTTCTGGCCTTAATTAAAACAAATAGAGTACTTTATTTTATAGCTCTAAGATACATTATTCATTCACTCACACACACGCACTGGTAGTAAACTGATATAGCCACAACTGCCTTTGGCTGCAGGATGTAATGCTGCCAACCTGCACCCTCAACCCGACCAACACCAATCACCAAGCACCCATCAGACTCATGTGGGTGACGTGTCATTAATTTACATTTCAGAAGTAAATCAGAAGCAACGCACATCAGAACATGGCCTGAAATAAAACTTTAAACATTTGTAAACGTAATGTATATCATTTATCATTTTTGTTTTGTTTTTGTTTTTGTTGTAAAGATTCATCAACTCAGAGCAGGCCCATTGAACCTGAAGCCCAGGGACCAAATCCAGCCTGCGAAAACATCACATCCGTCCCATAGACTGACGTACAAATAGGAAAGGGGGGAGGATTACTTGTTACTGAAATTATTTTCTGGTTTCCTATCAGGTTGATTATGTCTAGTAATTTATATCTGGGGGTAAATTGTGAAACAATTCTGGGTAATATGAATCTAATAATAATTTCTAATCTAATAAAAGCATATGCACCCCTAAAATGTTTTTTTTATTTTTTATAAATAAAACGTAGCTCATTATATTCATTCAGTCCCATCCGCCCACAGAGCGTTGGCGTGTTGTCGTCTGAAAACGTGTCGACCCCTCTGCCCTTGCTGCACAGTGTTAAATACAGTATTCTCTGCTATCGCTGTGATTACGCCTGGGTGTCGCTGAAGAGGCTGAAGAGGCCGACAAGTGTGTGGGACTGTGATAAATATAAAAGGAACATGTTCCATTTAGTCAAGTGGAGGAATTTCTATGGTCTGAATTAAGTAAGTAAGTAATCTTTATTTATAAGTAATTTGTATCAGCTGTTCCATTCTTACTGGATATGTAAGATTTTCATCTCTAATCACCATTGTCATTAAAGTACACAAAAATACGGCAATATTAAAATGTGAAATTAACTATAACGATGGTTTTAGTTTATCTATGGAAAACTTATGAAGCTTTGGGGTGTGATCTGATTGGCTCATGGGTGGTCGCCCCTGCTTCAGTTCAAACAAAGTTCAAGTGAATCTTCAAAAAAACATTCACTTGATTTCAACGCCAGTTTTAATTCTTTCAAAGAAGTTCTGCCTGGAGATATCTTTCCAAAACGTATTGTCACTGTGATTATTTATATATGTGATTATTATTTTATGTTATTTGAATCTTATTTAAAAAAGGGTTGCTACATTTGTCATTCAAGGCGCACTACGCTGGCCTGACCTCCTTCAGCACAGATTATCAGTCCATATTAAGGTGTTATGTGGCAGATTAGTTTGGAGAGAAAATGATTTCAGCCTCACTCCATGTGTCTCTGCTCCTATCAGTGATGTCAACAATGATTCTGAGCGTAATGCCACACATACTGCCCACGGTTTTGGAGTGATTTGAGATGGAGACAATATTTCAGATGTGTGCTGACTATTGAAACTGCCCACAATGTATGGCACATGAATGACCTCTTAGCAGCTCGTCGGTACAGAAACATCAATAGTAAACATTGATGTGACACATAGGAACACTGAACTTTAATATATTTCAACATGACTGTGTCATTGGTGCACTGTTTTCAGTACATGCAACTTTTCACTTCACTACGCCACTTTCTGACACAGAACATGTTTGGTACCTATACATGTTATAAAAGCACAGTCACAGCTTTCATTAGAAGATCAATACAGACCGAGATTCTGATGGGCTATTTGTTATTGCCATCAGCAGCAAGAATAGAGCATTGATTTGTGAGATAACAAAAATACACAACAAAGATAATAGATCAAAGTATTAAAAACTGACTGCAGTAAAGGCAAGGAATGTAATCAAGTGGGTCCAAATCAAGTGGGTGACGTCACTGACGTGTGTGGTGAATAACCAGAGACATTATTTGTATCTTTACATTTATATAAAAAAAAAAACCAAAACATTTGATTTCCTCCCAAAAAAGTGTTCGGTCATTTAGCGCAGGTTAATAAATAATACATAACCCGTTAATCCTCCGTCTTCTTTTTTTTTTTTTATTGAACAAAGCTACAGCTTGTTATTATGGCAACAATTGAAGGTCTATCTATATTGTATAAATGTATATATTTTTCTTAGGATATAAAATGATAGGCCTTCACAATCTGTATAATTCATTGCATAATCTAATGATCGATAGATAAGTCAAACAATATTAATGAACTCCATTCACTCACCGAAAGTAGAACTGTGGATCCAACAACTATATGCACTGTGAACAACTTAAAGATAACGTCTGAAGTTTATCGTGAGTGTGATGCTCCCCGGCTGGCCGCTGAGTGATGGTCGTGTGCGCTCACGCGTGCGCAGCAGCGCACCAGGGCTGACCTTGTCACACCGGACGAGCGTCTGGTCAAATGAAGACAAATAGCGATTGTTGCAAATATCACATCATATCATAACAATATTATCTCCATAAAAGATGCTGTAGAAACAACAACAGAGATTCTCAGATTTCAAGCGCTGACGGAGTAGAGACATAAGTTAAATCCTCGTCTTTCTGCTAAACTAGAGGCGGCGATGAGCTCAGATGTATTTTCTGAAACGCTCGCTTTAAAAAGGCAACAGCAGTTTGTGCTTTTGCTCTTTGCTTTGTGACACTGAAAATACACACGATTGACCAGTGGAAAACTGTGCGGGAGGGAGAGGGCAGAAGAATGACAGGAGCGTGGTGGGAACTCACAACCCAAAGGGACAAAAAGTTCAGATCATTCAAATCACAAAATCAGCGAAACAGACAAGAGCATGTCTATACAACTGCCACAGAGACTGCAAGGGAACTGGTCTCGTTTCATGTGCAATGATAGCCTGGCTAACACCAGACTGCTGTGTGCGCTCGAATCCTTTCGAACTGGCGTTAGCCAGGCTAGTGCAATGACCCAACGTGACCAACTCCGCAAAGTGAGCCAACATTACCCATAATTCAGCGGCAGCCGAGCGTTCAATTCAGTCTGCAGTCTATAATCCACAGTCTAGTTATGGACAACCGCACACAGCTTTCAAGTGTTAAAAAAAAAATATATATATATATATATATATATATTTGAGTAAGACAGTATATAATACTGAATAATTCAGTAAGTTGTGTCTAAAATAATGTATAAATAATTAACGTTTAGTTGCGTGCAATAAATAAAAGATTGCAGTTCCTATATGTAACCGCCAGTGGGCAGTCGGAACCGGGTTTTGTGTTTTTTTACCCGGAGGCTCACACAGGGCTCACACTCAGTGATGCTATAAACCTCTACAGCTTTATCTGAGGTTTACAAGTTTTCAGAAGCAGTAAATAGCCGATTGACTTGGGCAGAAAACACCTGGATGAAGTCAAAACGACTCATAATTACAAGCTGAGGTTGAAACAACAGCTGCTCTGAAAGGTAAAAGAATAAACTTCACACCTCCAGGTGACACTCAATTAGAGCATCGAATGAAATACAAGACTGCAGTGTTTGATGATGGACAGTTGGGCTGAGCCCGGCGGGTAAAGGGGAACTCAACACAACACAAAGATTAGGTTAATTGCTTTATAGGAATCCCACGGCTTTCTTCAAAAAAAAAAAAACAAAAAAAAGTTATATGTATATAGGTATGGTATATAGTGAGCTGCAGCTGTAGTCTAGGTAGATGTCACTAATCCGGTAGTGGAGGATGATGAGAGAGGAGGACTGGTCCATTGTACATTGTACATATTGTACATATATATCCTGCATGTAACATGTTTACACATTTCCTCCTTTTGCACAATCTGAGTGTCTCTATCCATGCCAAATGTGACATGTAAATGTCTCCTATGTGAGATAAATAAAGCACATCTTATCTTATCTTATCTTACATGTAACATGCTACTAACCTACTGTCTGCTCACCCTTCTCTGCGATTGGTTAGATCCACCTGTCATTCACTTGTGTTTGAGCATAGAGCTGCTATAACGAAACAAGACATGAATTACAGAATTATAATTTCACCATAATATGATACTGCCACCAAAATCAATCAAAAACAACAATCCTGAATCTGCATTTATCCTGTTGAAAGATGCCAACAAGTGGATTGTTTACTAAATTATTACAGTTTCATTGACTGATTATGGCACAGAAGTCCATACAATTACCACAAACTATTTAACATTGAGACAGGAGATATTTGAGGAGATGAAGCAGGACTGAGGGCACGAAGGGCAAATCAATAACTCATCATCAAGTTGTGAATCAGCGTCGTTTGTCAGACACAAAACGTCCACCCATTTAATCAAGAGTACTACACTAAGGACGCTCAGCCCGTCGCCAATTTGTCAGACTCAATGCAACAAAAATGGGGAGAGCTAATTAGTGAAATGAAAGAAGAAAGCAAGGACAGCCAGAAAGGGTTAGGGAGCTGATGGTGTTTATCATACTGATTTGAATGTACTGCATACAAAGTGTAGGCAGGAGAAATTGTGTTCTAGTGAACAAAAGTATGGTATACAAGGGAGGAGTGATGTTTAAATTGCAATTAGCTTGTTTTTATGGAATGGTTCTGGCTGATTAGGCACAATCAGCCAAGGAATTTTGTATTACTTCCTGTTTATTATTTACATTTTTCTTGGAGTGATATAGTAAACAAAAATATAATAACATATAACATTAGGGCACACATCGTCGAGTATTGACTATTGTACTATTGCTGCCTTCATACCATCATTGCCACTACAATGTGTAATAAACAAAACATTTATAAATATGTAAAAATAGTAGTTATGTAGAAAATAGAAAACTATATTTACTCAAGATTGTGTTAAAGCAGGGTATATTTCTGATTCCACTATATTGCCTGATGAAGTTTGTCCAAATGGACCTGCTATTACTCCAGCTAGAGGCACCATGTGATGCCAGCAAACCAAAGCCCTCGAATAAAATATGCAGCTCTAAATATTTGTGCGTGACAAGCAGACAATTAGTATAATGAACTACGTCAGTGTGGCACCAACAGAATGCCCCATAAACTCACTTTCATTGTCATGCAGGTTTACTGAATGCCAGCTCTGTATGCAGAATTCACCAACAAGTTTTAACAAATAAATTAACCTAAAGTACAATGCTAAAATATCCTTCTGGTAACGGATAATATTTGAGGCCTCAATTTGATGGATGTCTTCAGACAAGATCAAATAAATATCACATGACCGAACCCCTACAATTTCCCCAAACACCCCAAAGTTTCAAATATATATATTTAATTGTTTATCCCCATACAGTGGGGCAAAAACGTTTCACAAGGTTTTCACACACTGTTGCTGTTATTTTGGCCCATTCCTCCATGCAGATCTCTTCTAGAGCAGTGACGTTTTGGGGCTGTCGCTGGGCAACACGGACTTCCAACACCCTGCAAAGATGTTCTATGGGCTTGAGATCCGAAGGCTGGCTAGGCCACTCCAGGACCTTGAAACGTTTCTTACAAAGCCAGTCCTTTGTTGCCCGGGCGATGTGTTTGGGTTTGGGATCATTGTCATGCTGTAAGACCCAGCCATGTTTCATCTTCAGTGCCCCTGCAAATGGAAGGAGGTTTTTATTCACAATCTCACAATACATGGCCCCATTCATTCTTTCCTTTACACATCAGGCGTCCTGGTCCCTTTGCAGAAAAATAGCGCCAAAGCATGATGTTTCCACCCCCATGATTCACAGTAGGTATGGTGTTGTTTGGATGCAACTCAGCATTCTTTATCCTCCAAACACAAGGAGTTGAGTTTTTACCAAAAAGTTCTATTTTGGTTTCATCTGACCATATGACACTCTCCCTATTCTCTTCTGGATCATCCAAATGCTCTATAGCAAACTTCAGACGGGCCTGGACACGTACTGGCTTAAGCAGGGGACATGTCTGGCACTGCAGGATTTGAGTCCGTGGCGGCGTAGTGTGTTCCTGATGGTAGCCTTCGTTACTTTGGTCACAGCTCTCTGCAGGTCATTCACTAGGTACCCTCGTGTGGTTCTGGGATTTTCGCTTACTGATCTTTTGATACTTTTGACCACAGGGTGAGATCTTGCGTGGAGCCCTAGGTCGAGGGAGATTATCAGTGGTCTTGTATGTCTTCCATTTTTGCTCCCACAGTTGATTTCTTCTCACCAAGCTGCTTATCTATTGCAGATTCAGTCTTCCCAGTCTAGTGCAGGTCTACAATTTTGTTTCTGGTGTCCTTTGACAGCTCTTTGGTCTTGGCCATAGTGGAGTTTGGAGTGTGACTGTTTGAGGTTGTGGACAGGTGTATTTTATACTGATAACGAGTTCAAACAGGTGCCATTAATACAGGTACAAGTGGAGGACAGAGGAGCCTCTTAAAGAAGGAGTTACAGGTCTGTGAGAGCCACAAATCTTGCTTGTTAGTAGGTGACCAAAAACATATTTTCCACCATGATGTGATTTTCTGGATTTTTTTTCTCATTCTGTCTTTCATAGTTGAGCTACACCTAAAATCAAAATTACAGGCCTCCCTCATCTTTTTAAGAGGGAAAACTTGCACAATTGGTGGCTAAATACTTTTTTCCCCACACTAACCCTAAGCTCTTTGTGTATACTTGTGTAAATGTATCACAAAATTGGTTGATTTTTGTCAAACTTGTACCGGTCTTTGGCCTCGGAGCCAGGCCAGTGGCTCCAGATCGCTACCTTCTTTTGGCATGCCAGTGCCAGGTATTTGTTCAAATTCCTCACACCCCATGGGGATAGGTATGTCCCCTCCCCCTGGCGGCGCTTTACTACTGTCTCTGTCTATCTTATGTATGCCCGCACATGTACAGCAGCCAAGGCCAACTCCCCACCACCAACATACGGCGCGCACACATTTTATTGGAACGACATGACTAAATCTTTTCCAAGTTGTTCTGCCTCTTGAAACTGGCAAACCACAAGTGGGGCTCAATGGCTGCGGCCAAAAACAACTTGTGGATAACACGCAACTGTAAGCTGTTTCTGATAACTTGTGAAAGACTATTCATTCTGTGTCTGACTCTCATGACAGCCACTATTAAAGGTTTCTCTGACATATAAATGTTTATATAAACTCCAGCTCAGCTAGATTATTAATTTCCTTCAGAACTTAAACAGCAAATCATTGTTGAAACACCCTGCGGGGGGCAGCCTATGTTTAAAATGAGCTTGTATTATCATTGGGTCAGAGAAGAATAAGTTATGGTCACGCGTCACCAAATGACACCGGAGGAGCTGCTCCAGTTTTTGTCTGAACTGGACAGACTCCTTCAATTTATTCTGATGTTTGAGAATTCAGGGCATAACTAAACTGTGAGCCATCATTACATGGATCTGACTTTATCAGCTGCTTCATAAGTCATGGAAAAGTACAGTCATAAAGATCTTGATGAATGAAATTAATAAATACATTTTAGACTCGTACTCTGATCTTGCTAGGCTCCTAAAGCAGCTTGTATTAATATGACACTTTTGCCAAAATATGATTCTGCAACCATTTATGGACAAGCATGAAAGTCCCATAAAACAGTGCCTTCAATTCAAACCATTTAGCAACTTAGAAAACATAAATAAACAACATTAAATTTGCCAACAAACAAAATCTACCTACTCCTTTTTCAAATTGTGTATATACATGTTTATATGTTTCTTCTTTTTTAGTGTATTGCACAATTAATTCGACATAAAGACTACTACTACTACTACTAAATCCTGCCATGCCATATCAATGGGGCTGGATTTACACTATAATTATCACAAATACTATGGATTAAGGTCAATAAGCCCAAATATAAAAATCTGTACATAAATGTTAACAGGTTTATGCATAATTGAATTTGCAAACAACATAATGACTTTGTAATGTGATATGTGCGACACATTAACACGTCATTAATAAAGTGCAAATACATTTTTATTCTGAGTAAAAGATGTCCGCTTCTCTTCCGCTTTAACTGTGACAGTAGGTTTTTGTGTTTCAACTATGATCTAGGAATTATTCTCATTTTAATTCCAATTATTACAATAATGCCTTTTCCACTGGTTCTGTCTTAAGTATTAACCATAATGAAAGGGCAGATTGAGCGGGAACTTGTTGGTCATTATTTGATGTCAACACAAATTGTCTGAATCCCCAGAGTGTCGCTGCCTCTCTGAACATCCCACCCCCTTCACTCACTCTCACCGTGGACTCAGACGCTGAGAGACTGGAGCAGGACGGCACTGGGACAGCACTGGACGAGAAGACACCGCAATAAGTTCAAACAACTCAAATCTCAAGCCGTTTTTATTGAAGCACATCTGAAAATAAACGCTTGCATGCTAGCACTTTTCAAAATGGAAAAAGACATTCGACATCTGAACATATTTTTTGGGATCATGCTTGCTTGAGGTAAGACGTGTCCGTTATTCACTAACAACAGTAACTATAAGTTGGCTGTTGTAAAATTGTCTGGTGACTATCACAAATGTAATAGAAAAAGAGTTTAATTACTTTGAAATGTATATCACTATATCGTTTTTAGGTTTTTCTCCCGTTTGTGGTTCATTTTGTGGTCATTTCAGGTTTTGCGCTCACAGAGACTTTTGCAGCCACATTCCTGATGCACACTTAAAAATTGTTTTGAGACAATTCAAGAAAATAATCAAAATGATAACTTAAGAAGTAGATGATTTAAGTGATAAATTATATAGACCAGCCATTCCCAAACTCAGTAACACCGAGGCCCCCTTAAAAATCTGACGGGTCTGCGTGGCCCCCCAAAATAATAACCAAGAAGACAACATTAAGAATAGGCTCTTCTGGTTATTTTATTTTGGGGAAATAGCCTTTGCTACAAACATTGTAATACAAAAATGATTACAGTGGCTTATTCAAGTCAAATAATGAACACAAATATTTTAATATTACAAACAAAACATTATAAATTTAACATTAAATAATTATATTATTTTTTTATTTTTTTTATGACCTCCCGCGGCCCCCCTGCAGTACCCACGCGGCCCACCAGGGGGGCGCGGACCCCACTTTGGGAGACACTGATATAGACGATGAATAAAGAAAGCATTTAGGAAATTTTAAAAGGCAAGATTTATCATTTAGCTCATAATATCTCAATAACGATGGCCAAGGCAAAAATATGTTTTATTTGGTGTAGGACTCCAGGTCCACAATGCTCAGCTTTAAATTCTTCAAGACTCTTTCCCGATATGCAGGACCCCAGTCAAGAATATGATGTAGATGTTATTTGTGTCGTGCCAAATATACGGTGGGAGCGAGTGGTCCAAAGGGCCCCTGCTGTGGTCCACAGGCTGACAGCAGCTCTTGACCTGGAGCCTGGGCCTGGGTCACCATGTGTCACAGACAAGACTTCCCACTGACACTTTGATGTCCTACAGGATTAGGTATTTCCCAGAAAGAATCCCTCATTGACTAGACATTCGTAGATATAACTTCTAACGTGAGAATTTTGCAGGATTATAAATGTGCAAATATTAGGATTGTAAAGGAGATTAGATTTCAAGGTAGAATGGTAAATAATATTTTGTCACCTCCCCATGTTGCTGTTTAGGTGGGGAGGTGACCAGTTATTATTCACAATTCTCCCTTGCAATTATCACATTATACTTTTAATATTCTGGAGCATAGATAATAAAATCAAAACTTTTCAACATAAACATCTGATAATAAATTAAGTCTAAATGTCTACGCTCTCCCGACCAATCAATTAGATGTCCTTGATTACATTATTAATTGCCCATGAAAAACACAGCATATTCAGATTCAGACTACTTTATTTATCCCACCAGGCGCAATTCATTTGAGCAGCACATAAAAATTAATGATACTAACATAAAAACACAAGAAATATGTGATATGACATGAAGTGGAGCCCCATACAATCATAAGAAAATGATACAACAATAAAGCTCAAACATCAAAGTCCACATCACCAACAGCTAAGTCTAATGCCTAATAAGTATCATCATCATGCTTATACTAAATCCTTATATATAAAAGGAAAACACAAACAAGACTATTGAGTCATATAGTCTGGATAGCACAGTAGGCAGGTGAAAATAAATCGGCTGAATAGGGAACGACATTCACAAAATTGTAAAACCCAAGAATCAATCTCAGGATATAACTTAAGACAGGCACAAAGCCCCTACAGTGCTGGATAATTAATTTCACGAATACATATTGGTATACCTACTCATTATGGTCAGCATAATTTGAACAGATATGGTTCAAATCATGTCCTTCGAAAGACAACGAGCAACGGAAAAATCTGGGGAAGTTCATGGAGATTTATAGCTTTTAATTGAAGTCTTTGAAAATTGAATGGTTCCTTTTAAACTTAGACAGGGTTACTAGGTCCCTGAAAACATATAAAACATGAATAACTGTGCCAACCGGAGCAGGCTCCTGGCCAGACATAAACTATCAGAGGCTTGCTGACATTTCATTTTCCCACATGTTTATATGACTTTATTTACTTTATCTGCTGTCACCATTTGCAGCACTCTTAAAGCCAACTTGGTTTTAAATGCTTGTTATCTTAAAACCTCTGTCAAACAAGCAAAATCAACTGAAACCAAAATTATGCCAGACATGATGTGGTTAACATTAATAATTTATTTTGTGTTTCCATCCGTCTCTCTCTCCTGTGACCTTCCCCCTTCGCCCCATCTCTATCTGTTAAAACTATCCACTTCTACACAGAGCATTCTGCATTTCCCTCAACTGTGACGCCTCCTTCACAATGGATTTCCCCAGCTCCATACCACCATCCCCATTCACCATTTCCATGTCTTCAAATTTGTCCGTACCCTCCACCTCTCCGTCTGAGTCCCTGCCTCCCAGCCTGGCATCCACTGCTCTGTTCTGCTCGCTCCTGTCCCTTCTATCTCTCCTGGGAATCTTGGGAAACCTGTACACTCTAGGGCTGCTGCTGAGGCGCAGGAGGATCAGGAGGAGACACGGAGGGGCCAATTGCTGCTTCATCAGAGCTCCGTTACCATGGTGCCTGTCCAGCTCCACGTCCCCGACCTCCTCCCCTGTGTCGTCCTCGTCTACGTCGTCGCTGTACCTGCAGGTGCTGAGTCTGGCCTGTGCAGACCTGTTATACCTCTTCACCGCCCCCTTTATTGTGTACGACAGCCTGGCGTCCGGCTGGGCTTTCGGGGAGCTGGGCTGCCGTCTGCTACTGAGTTTGGATCTGCTCACCATGCATGCCTCCATCTTCACCCTCACAGCCATGAGTCTGGACCGGTACCGCGCTGTGGCCCACCCCTTGCACACTTCCTCCACAAACTCTTCAGGACTTCTGCGTGTGGCTCTGGCCTGGGGCCTAGCCGTGGCCCTCAGTCTGCCCATGATGATCACACTACACCTGGAGAAGGGGGGTGAACAGGAGGGTCAACTGTGTGTGCCTGCCTGGGACGAGCAGAGCTCAAAGGCCTATCTCAGCATCCTCTTCTGTACCAGCATCCTGGGCCCAGGGCTGGCCATAGGTGCTCTGTACTCCACATTAGGCCGGCTGTACTGGGTGTCTCAGACAAAACCAGTGTGGGCCAATGGGAGCAGCAGCGCCAGCACGCCTCGAGCTCCTAAACCCAAAGTGCTGCTCCTTATTCTGGGCATTGTGCTGACCTTCTGGGCCTGTTTCCTGCCCTTCTGGGTGTGGCAATTGCTGCCTCTGTATCAGCCTGACATGTTAAGAACTGTCCCAGTGGGGACTCAGGTGACAGTGAACCGCATCCTGACGAGCCTGACCTACGGTAACTCCTGTGTGAACCCGTTCTTCTACACTTTGCTCACGGGTAAACAGAGACGCAGACAGACAATGAACACAGTCAACACACTCTGCCGCAAGAGCAGCCCACCACAGTAGAGCTGCACTGACCACTGCAGGCTCCTTACTATGCACCTGAAGAACTGAAAGAACGAGAGCACTTTGTCGACTTTTAAAAAAGCATTATGTTTTAGAAACAAGAGTCCAAGACAATCACTGTAAACTGTATCACATCAAATGCTGTTTTTTAAGAGCCAGGTTTACTTAATAAGCTGGATATTATGTATTTGTTCTTATTACAATTATTATCAGGCATCTGTTGCACAACTTAGTATTATAGAAAAATAAGGAGATGCATATATGTTATTGACTTCCAAATATATAAAAAGTAATTTGTTACTATTATTGCGTAAATTATATTGTGCATCCTGCAAAACATGGGACTATACAGAACCAGTAAAAATATGGGGCACTTATTTTTGTACAATAGGTATAGATACAGTTAATAATACTGGTATTAGTAGGATTTTGTATATTTTTTGCATGATCTCTATAAAAAAAAGTTATGTTACAGAAAGCAGGTGCAATGTTTTTCTTCACAGATTTTGTTAAATAATGCCAAATAAAGAGTGATGACATAACTTTGTGTGCAGGCTTTTAATTGTTATTCAATTAATAGGTCTAGAGTTATATTTACAAATACATACAAGACTGAAAGATATTTCTTTGTGTTCTTAGAGGCAGGTTGAAGCCAGACACAGCGTGTGCTTGTGTCTGGCCAGTGACCTCACTCACTTTTGACGACTAATCGCTTTGTAGGGGTGTCGGAGCCTGAAGTAAACAAATACTTTTTCAAGACCTTAAGACCTCTTTGCATCTTGAGAACAAAATAGTGCATAAAATATGTCTCATTATAAATTGTGAAGCACCTTGTGAGTTACACACTTTAGTAGTAATCTTTATCTTTAGTAATCTTTATTTATATACCACTGCACATCAGAATCTCAAAGCGGTTTACAATTGTGTTTTTTTGGGAGTGGGGGTGCCAGTACAGGAGGCACATGCCAGACCTATTGTACATATTTTTTAGTGGTAGGGGAAACCAGAGCACCCAGAGGAAACCTACACAGACACGCGGAGAACATGCAAACTCCACCCAGAAAGGCCCTGGTCCAACCGGGATTCGAACCCAGGACCTTCTTGCTGAGAGGCGAGAGTGCTATCCACTCAGCCAATGATTGTGTTCAATGATTAAAAAGCAAGATAAACATATCCAGCCATCATTAACTTAATGTACTGTATGTAATAAAGATAATCAAAACAATAAGGCCATATTCCGGTCGCAGCAGAAGAAAAATGACACTGGTTCACGCCTCCTTCACCTGTTTGTAATAGGACATGTACTGTTCTTTAAAGGCCACTAAAACACATATTTTATCACATGTTGCATTAGTGTCTTTGAACAAACTTTAATTTCCCAAACATTTGTTTTCATATAATTGGGATTGAAGACTTTTTCTTACTTTTTAATGGCTTTAATAACAAATGCAAGATGTAACACAAACGTGCATTATGAGGAAATTTGTGAGATTAACGGTAGTTTTGTCTTGTTAGACCAGTGCCTGGACAGTGCGGTCTCTGGCTGCACCAGGCCTCTTCTGTGACGCACATGGGCAAATATTGTTGTTTGACAGCGAAGTGTAAACACAGGGATTGTGGGACAAAACTGAGGGAAAAAGAAAGATTTAAATGTCAGACTCCAGTGTAGTGAATTGGAATTTGGAAATGCTGCCTTTTCAAAATAAGTGTTTATGTGACAAAAACACTATTTATAATCAAGGTGGCACCTTTGAAAATGCTTTTAGTGCACATAAAATATTTTTTTCCCCAAGCATTTGATATTGAAACTTGGAATGTAAAAAGAAGATTCAATCCTATAATTAATCATCTGCACTTTGCCTAGTGCCAAAAGTGCCTTATCCATATATATAATTATATAATCATAGTTAGATATATGCAAAAGCAATGCAATTATATCTTAAATTGATATAATCTGCAAAATCACTCAGTGGTGTTCTTTACAAGTCCTCGGGCTGAATGTTATTGCATTATTTCTCAAATAGTCAGGTTGCAAACTAAACACATTAAAGTCCATTAAACAGTAGGAGCTTTATGGTCAGGAGTAATTTTCAATAACAGGTTTGACTCAGGCCCCTGCGATAGCTACAAATGAGAGAGATTTCAAGGTATATTCACTAGAAATACATGAAATATGTGCAAACCAAAGTACAAGAACAAACCTAAAAAGAGTAAATAAAGCTGTCAAATGCAGTCAAATGCAGGCTCTTATTTAACTCCATTTGGACAAAGAGCATGAGAGGAGGGTCCACCACGGAAATGCCATTATTTCTGAGTTGTACGGTGCTTTTAAGTTTACCATGTGTTTTCATTTACCTGGACTGGCAATACCTCCAAGAACATTCCCTCTGCAGTTATTATCCCCCAGTCTGCACAGTCACACCACGGGGGGCACTTCTTCTGTGGACTTAATGCAAAATCCATCCAACTTTCAGACACTGTTACGGGCCAGGCCCTTACTGTCCAGGAGAGGGAGCTGTCTGGGGTTTGCCTGCCTTCTCTGCTGTCTCCTCCTCTGTGCAGGTCCACACCTGCACCATGCCACGCCCTTCATCAATGGGTTTTTTCACCTGGGAGCTGAGAGCTGCTCACTCCTCCTTGCCTCCTGTTCTCCGGTGCTGCTGCTCGGATGGGTCCTGTCTTGGTGGGCTCTTCTTGAGACACCATGTCCATTCCTTTGTTGCACATTTGAGTTTGTCTTTTGGTTTATGCACCACATTCACTGCACACCACACACAGGCTTTCGTTGCACTCACACACCTGCACCACACACTGATTACAACATGCTCACATCCCATACCTTGGTTTTTGTCCATGTTATACTCTTTTGTTATTATTAAATATACTTTTTGCACTTTTTACCCCCGTTTCGCCTGCCTATTTGTTGTGGCCCTGAGCCGGCCGTAACAAGTTGGGGGCTCGTCCTAAAAACCTGCGTTTGTTTGAGGTAAATATCATTTTGTGTTATCTGTGATATTTTTTGGTAAACTGGTTTTGTTTGAGCGCTTTTGGTCTTGTGTCAGCTCTTGTTTGTTTGTTGGTTAAGTGCCATTTTGAATTGAGCTGTACCTGGAGTTTGGTGTGACTGGCTCAGTGGGGGTTTTCCCTGTGACGTCATTTTGGTTAGTGCGCTTTGTGGGAGACGTGCGGGAGGTATTTTTTGGTCTTCAGGTTTTTGTGCTGTTTGAGAGCAGGTCAAAAACCTCATCCTAGTTTGGTCAGCCGTGGCTGTTTGTAAAGACCCAGAAGGTAAGTGTATAAATTGTAATGTGTGCTAAAAGTGAGGAATCCCTGGTAGGCTTAGCGGTGTTTCCCAACAGGGGGTTCACTGCATTTTTTTGGGGGGCTTTAGTGTGGAAGTTAAGAGCGGGTCGTAGCTTCCATTTCCCCTTTTCCCTACATCGGCTCGGGAGCGCGCCGTGGTCACTTGATTGCCAGCTTGGTCGTCTTGTGTACCATCGGTATCTGGCGCATAAAAACCCATCGCCACGCTTCCCGAAGACTAGGGTTGAGGTAGTAAGCTTTTGGGTAGGTAGGTAGCGGGGTATCCTTGACTTTATAGGACACATTGGTAGTTTATCACTTAAGCTTCTGGGGGTCTGTTTTGTGATCATGGATGATGTGGTTGAGGAATTTCTGGAGGAACCATGTGAGAGTGATTTGAAGCTCTGCACTAAAAGGCATTTAATTGCGATTGCAGAGTTTTACAAAGTTTTTATTGGGAATTCAACTGTCTTGAGTGTTCTTGAGGACAATTTGAAGAAACAATTATTTGGAATGGGCATTTTGGTTTCACCTGTGGGTTTAACTTTTGAGCAGCAAAAAGAGCTACTGTTAGTCCAAGTAGAGGCAGAGAAAGAACGTGCAATGATGAGGCTGGAGGTTGAGATGGTTAAGCATGACATTGAACAGCAGAAACTTATTTTGGAGAGACAGGAAATGCAGGGTAGTCCTATACCTGAACATGCAGAGGATGAACTTGTTCCGGAGGCTCGCGGACAGCGTTTTTGTTGTGGGAGACAAGTTTATATTACAGGTAGCCAGGTCGGGGCTGAGGTGCCTCCTCCAGTCCAGATGACCGAGGCTCCGGTGGTATGTAGTAAACCTGATGAAACTGAGATGTTCCCTGAGCTTGTTCTTCCCTGTTCTGTGGCACACAACGTCCTGGTGGTGGCGCAGAAGTCCGGTGCTTTGGAGGGATTAGTGCGTGACACTGTACACCCGGTGGTGGGTTCTTTAAAGTGTTGTGATGCTGTGTTACAGTTCTGTCATGACCAGAGCAGCCATCGTGGGGTCAGGATCACTTGTGGCCGGAGCTGGTCTATTTCTTCGGTTCCTTTTTCACTCTCTAGTCTAGAGATGCTGGGCTCTGAGGTATGGGTGACTTGCCCTATTGAGAGTGCTGGCTTTGACGCTGAATCGCAACGCTTGTGGCATCCGGGGGAACGTAAGGTGCTGAAGAGGAGAGTACAGTATGTTGTGGTTTTGCTGTTCCCTCTCACGCTAGCAGGGCTTCACAATGTTTGCTGGGGCCAAGCTCGGATGATTCGTCTGGAGACTATGGGGACTGGTCTGGAAGCTGGTGCCAGGTCCGTTCTGGTGGAAGCATGGATGCTTCAGCCCACCGTGCAAGCGACACTGGGACGGCACGGTGGAGACCCCAAGTCCCGGGGCCTACTCTATTTTGGAGGTACATTGCTTGACGCCACTTTCACTGAGTTTCTTCCAACCGTTTGAGATGCCTAGTTGCTGGATGGAATGTCTTTTTGAGCTGCTCGGTTTTTTTAAAAATTGTTTGGGTCTTAACGGCCTAGTTGGGTCCCTTTCTTGTAGGGGGGGGGTGTTACGGGCCAGGCCCTTACTGTCCAGGAGAGGGAGCTGTCTGGGGTTTGCCTGCCTTCTCTGCTGTCTCCTCCTCTGTGCAGGTCCACACCTGCACCATGCCACGCCCTTCATCAATGGGTTTTTTCACCTGGGAGCTGAGAGCTGCTCACTCCTCCTCGCCTCCTGTCCTCCTGTTCTCCGGTGCTGCTGCTCGGCTGGGTCCTGTCTTGGTGGGCTCTTCTTGAGCCACCATGTCCATTCCTTTGTTGCACATTTGAGTTTGTCTTTTGGTTTATGCACCACATTCACTGCACACCACACACAGGCTTTCATTGCACTCACACACCTGCACCACACACTGATTACAACATGCTCACATCCCATACCTTGGTTTTTGTCCATGTTATACTCTAACTTTTATTATTAAATATACTTTTTGCACTTTTTACCCCCGTTTCGCCTGCCTATTTGTTGTGGCCCTGAGCCGGCCGTAACAGACACTCAGAGTCTCTGCATTTGTACATTTTTATATTTTTGTGACCAAAGAGTTGATTTTGAATGTGTCTGAAATCGTGATCCCTTGGTGGTTTTGGACCCTCGGACCATTCCAAAATGACAGACAGAGAGAGTACTTAATGAAAAGATGAAACCAATCCAAAAATGACACTGAGCAGCAGTGGGCATATTAAAAACGTAGGACAGAAGATCAATTTGCAGTTTTGGGTGTATGTATATTTTAAAATTTGATATAGGACATATTATTCGAGTTTTCAGGGATGATTGAGTGTTTAATAAACTTCAAAGAGTAGGAAGATTCTTCTTTTTACGAGCCAGTCAAACAAATTATTCTTGGTTTAACTTGAAATGTGATTCCTTCCATATTCCTCCTCATAATGTGATGGGGAAACAAGACAAATATTTTGGTTTCACAGAATCACCCGTTGTACCTGAGGAATTCATAAATCCGGCAGATGTCCAATTCCTGGAACCACCAAGCGTCTTTCCATCCTCGCACTCTCGCTCCTCCCGTGCAGCCCTCTGACTGACCAGTGTGCGGGGCTGGCGCAGGTGCCCCTCCCCTGGGCAGCCCACTCAGGAAAGCACCCTGCTGCTAAGGCGAGACGAGGCCACAGCTCAAGCCAAAACCACGCTGTGAGGTGCACAAGAGGCTCCCGTTCTCCTACAGACATACACAAAACAGATTCCCTCAGCCTTTTTCTCCAAACGCAATGTGTACATCTGTTTTCTCTCTACCGTCACACGCCTCCAGTCTGAGCTGCACTATGGGAACTTACACACACCAAGCTAATGCATAGACTCAGATCCATTTGAATATATTGCAAAACTGAGAAGTGGGATATCGTTTTCCAGCAAATTATTTTTTCATCTTTTTCATTTTAAAGAATGACAGTCTCTTCAATAGCAGTGGTTTATAAACAAATGTGTGGGACTTTTGGCTTCTTTCCATAGTATGACGTTTTTACATTAAAAAAACAATATTTTTATCAGGTGTTCTGCTGAATATGATGACAATAAGAAAATACTGATATCTCATAAAATATCATGTTTTGTTAGGCCTGTATTTTTTTGCACCGTGAAGCACTTCAATATAATTACAATTTTGATTCTATGATTAGCAATTATTCAATGAGCATCTTCTGTAGATACTAGTCTTAATCTTATACATTTAAAGGGTTTGCCCCATAAAAAAAATTATAATCATAAAAGAATATCATATCTATCTAGTCAGAGAAATAAAATTCTACGCAAAGTATCCACGGGTAACAGAATGACACCAAATGAGGACCGTTGTGATGGATAATAATTATTTTGAATGGAAAGAAAGGTACTCAAAATGTTGGATTGGAAGCTGAAATCTAAGAATTCACATTAATGAATTATATGCAACAAGGTTTTGAGGATTTTTACCCATTCAAATGTATCCATATTTCATTTAAATTGTTTATCATTACAGCAATAGTCCTCATATCTAATCATTCTGAACCTCATCTAAGTATGCATCTGATAAACTAGAACAGCTGACACTTGTGAATACAGAAGTAAAACAAAGCTCAAGCTGCCCAACTTTATTGCCGTCACACATGTACTCAACACGTTTCTATCAAAACTGCTTGTAATTGCTGGTTTGGAGGCAAACTGTGAAGTGTCAGGCTCACAGAGTGTCTTTGTTCTGCTGCAGTGCGCACTCCTCTGTCCATCACGTCCGCTGAGCTCGCAGGCCGGTGTCAGCTGCCCTGTGGGCCTCTGCACAGCGGCAGGAGGGCCCCGGGGTGGAGGTTACATCAACCAACACACACATTACGGCTCACACTCAGGCTCTGATACAGACTACAGTCAACATGGCATGTCTCACCCGGGCCGTGCTCCAGCAGACGTCTTTGTCAGCGCAGGCGTCACAACCACAGACCTCTGACCTCCTCACACTCCTCTGCGTCCTCTGAATATACAGGGAAATGGACATTACAACAATTATGATAGTTCACTTGGAAATGATTGCTGGATTTATAAAGTTTTTTGCAATAATACAGAGATTTTTTGTTCTATGTCATTTTTAACATTTTGTTGCACTCTTCACTACAACAAGACTGCAACAATAATCAAATCATTGCAACAGATCAATTATTAAATAATATATTTCAGGACAGAACAGTAAATACATAAAACATAGATCATGCGTAAATGTCTCTTTTTTAATGAAGTTTTGTAATAATCTATTTAATCTACAGCTTTTTTTAAAGAACTGCTTTTAACTTACCATACATTCACAACTGTTTTTAATGTGCTGCCTTTACTGCACGATGCATTCATGTTTATCATCTACATATGTTGAGAATACATTTTACATGTCTGTTTTATGCACCAGACATTCTTAACCATTGCCACACGCTGCAGGATGAATAGAACTCTTATATATTGTTTACAATATCTCTGACGTTTTCTGTAGTCTGTGCATTGTGATTCACCTGTTGTTTCTGTGTTTGTTTCATGAACGCACAGATGGAACTCAAAACCCTGGACTCCCTGCCCTGGACCATTGCTTCTGTGATAGACACCGAGACATCTGCTGTTTTGGTTTTGGGAGATACAAGAATACATTTAATTGAAGCTATCTATCATGATGGCCTCACACGACAAACTTCAGGTTTCTTTGGGTTCGGTGAGTTGCAACACTGGCATTTCCCCAGTGTTTCAGTTAGCCTACCTGAAAAAATGATCACTAGATAAATTGATTTTTAAAGTCATTGTTAGTTAGCATGTTGTAGACCTATGTTCTGAACTAGTGAATGGCCGTGAAGTTGAATATTTTAAAACAATGAAATGACATCACTCAAAATAATATTCTGATCTGATTGAGATAGAAAAACATATTGTGACAATTTAATTTTATCCAAACTATATCTATATATATACATTCAAATAAAACCTTTTCTAAGAGAAAAGTAGCATCTATTTTCTTAAATGCTTTTTTAATGATTTTGAATTATGTAATGATGAGTAAATTATCCCACTTTTCATTAACATATACTGTATTTTTTGAATGTTATTATTCTGAAAACACTAAAAAGTTAGTAAGGCACAAGCAATATCACGTATGTGTACTGTGTGCATCCTCTTACGTAATCAATGACTGCAGTGGAAGAGCTGGACAAGAGCGATTCTTTATCTGAAAGACAAACATAAGTTATTTACATGGGCTCTGGCTGAGTTTGGGGCGCCTGTTCTCACCTTGCGTAAGCTGCACCTGTGGGTCTGTGATGGTAGTCAGAAACTCAACACCAGCACTTCAACAATACTTGCCCCAGAACTCTGGGACCCTGGAGATTGACAGGGTTTCAATGTTTTTAAATAACTTATGATGAAGATGTTGAGTTTAATGTAGTTTTATTAACAGAAAAAAAACATAATAAGAGAGATGGATTTATTCGTACATTTTTGGGAAAATTATATTGTTTTTAATATCACTAGAGACACAAAGACAGTATTTGATGTGTGTTTATTTAGCATACATATGTTTTTATCCTTTATGAATTTTTTTTGAAGGAAAAAATATATTTACTTGGAGTGGTTAACCCAAACAGTGTTTTAGTGGTTAAAGTTATTCTACCCCCTCTGATAAAAAACAAGAACTTATCTTGAAAAGCGTGAGCATATGTTGGTGTCCAGTTATAACTAAATTTCTAATTTCTACACCCAGTTCTTGAGGACAGCAATACCCAGTACCATTATGTGTCATACAAACACAGACAGGGGAACCAGTCTTGTGAAGTTGTTTGTGACATGAATTAGCTAAAACAGATAATTCCACAAAACCTTTTTTGGTTTAAGCTAACTCAATGTCTTTTGCTCTGCTATTTTTTTATGTTTACGTTGCTTACCTTGTTTTGAACGAAGACCAGTGGTGATGTATTTGGCATCTTGAGTGAGAATAAGTGACCCGGTGAGAATAGACTCATGTGGTCTGTACTGGAGTCTCAATCTGAATCAACGAAGTATAAAACCGAGAGTTACTATTTGTCGCTGTTGTGGCGCCATCTGGTGGAAACAGTGTTCAATTACAGGATTTCTACCTTTGACAAAGTTGCCAAGTCTGAATCTTTGTTGCGCCTTTGTTATAATTTTGTAGAGACGTTTAGCCATTGTGACAGGGATAAAGACGTTTTTGAAATTATTCCCCGCACAAATGGATCCCGTAATTCATGGGAAAGTACTAAAATAAAACATTTTTTTTGTATGTTTCTTTGGAAATGCCCAGTCACTTATTTCTCTCCCACAAGCTGGCAACACTGACAGTAACGTTGTTGTGGAAAACAGTGCAGCCGATCACGACATAAAGCCTTAAACCAGAACTTGTGCTTTTGTCTCTGATACACATAAGAGATCATGTCGTTTGGGTCCCAAACCAGCGGGTGAGTGAATGAAGATCTCATCTTGTCTTTTTCCTGCTCTTCTAGTTGTTATTGTCTGTCGCTTGTCCATGTGAATGCTAACTAGCTAAAAGCTAACTTTGGTCATTTGCGTGAACTGGTACTAATGTGGTGGTTTGACACTAACAAAAACCTGGTGAACACTTAAAATACTAAACCCATGATTGCAATAAATGACTTTGAATAATCGTTATTTTTGTTTTCCGTTATCAGGCTTGTGTGTGTATAAATGTATATTATTATATAATTGTGTAGCCATTTGAGTACATGTTAAGCTTTTGAATAACATAATAACCCATAGACATACATTTATTTATTAGTATTATTCTCTACCTGTTGTCTGCTTATATACAAAAAAATCATTATCTTCCAGTCTTCCCTAAAATGTACAATATTTGAATAGTTAAATCATGTACCTGATTTATACAATAGATAAAGATCAAAAATCATATTTTATCACATCCAAAATCATATTCAAAATCATATTTTATTGATAATCCCTGTTTGTGTGTTGTTGTCAGCCGGCGGAGCAAATGGGACCAGCCTGGCCCTGGTCCTGGGGGGATGGTGGACTCAGAGACTCCGTCTGGGGCTCTGGATGCTGCTGCAGCAGTGGCTGCAAAGATCAATGCTATGCTGGTGGCAAAGGGGAAACTCAAGCCTTCCCAGATCAACAACCCCGGTCCACCCGATAAGGTAAGAATGCCCTCAGCCAGTCATGAACCAAAATAACCTAAAGTGTCAATGACGCCATTCTACAAAACATTTTTTAAATGAAGCCTCATTCACTATGTTAAAAGTAATGTGCAGATGTGCCTAAATTACAATATATATATATTACCTGGGTAAAAATATTATTTATAGTTCAACATTTATCTTGCACTAGTAGGGTATTTCTTTTTCTTTATTAGATTCTGGGTGTTACAAAACCTTTGTCGCTTTCAAAAGCCAAAGATGACCTGGTTGTTGCAGAAGTGGAGATCAACGATGTGCCAATCACCTGTAGAAATCTTCTCACTCGCGGTCAAACGCAGGACGAGGTTTGTGCAGTTATCAGACTTTTAGGATGATTTATACTTTATATACTTAATGCCCATTTTCTTTTAGATCAGTAAATTCAGTGGTGCAGCCGTTTCAACTCGTGGGCGTTATATGTCAGCGGATGAAAAGACGAAAGGTCTACCAGGGTAAGTACAATGGTTAAAAGATATAAAAGATCGCTTACCAACGTTTTTTGTTCAACCCATTAGAGACCGACCTCTTTATCTACACGTTCAAGCTCAAACGCGAGAGCTAGTAGACCGTAAGTAAATGCTAATGCTAATACGCCCACTGTATCATAATATTTTAAAGAACTTTTCTCAATGAGCTCTAATTGATGTCTTTCAGGGGCTGTGAATAGGATTAAAGAGATTATCACAAATGGTGTTGTAAAAGCTGCCACTGCTGCACAGTCTTCACCTTTTTCACAAAGTGGAGCCACAGTCACAGTTTACCACCAGCCCAATGCTCCGCCAATCTCTCATCACAAACCAAACCCACAAACTGGGGTAAGGAGATTGTCATTGAAATCTGGGATGGGAAAATAACGGATATAGCATGAAATTTAATTTATATTTTTAAAAACTATTATAATCAACCTAACCTTTTCGATTTTTAAATTATCTATATTTTGTCGTATTGATTAGTATATCATGCCACAAGCAATGCTAGTAACAATAATTTTAAAAGCTGGGGTACCTGACTTTTTTGTTTCATAAATACATCTGGCGACATCTTGTTTTGTAACATTTTATGAACAAATTGGATCACAACATGCTATCATTATCATTAGAAAAAATGTTATCTTACACATACTGAGAGCTGATTGGCTGATAGCGAGTGCTGGTACTCTCTTCTGTAAAGATGTTACAGAAGCCAAAATATATATGCATCTATAAACTACTGACACAATGTTTTGAGAGCAAGGAACTAGTTATAAAGATTTTTTTAAAATTATTATTTTGTGTTTTCAAAGTTAGGTACTCAAGCTTTAATGTTGTAGACTTATTTTTCACAGTTGAGAATAGCTCTTTTGGTTGCATGTATCATACAGGAGAAATGTTCATACCATCCCTGATTAGAATACGACAGTGGCTCAGTTGGTAGCGCACTGGCCTTTGGGCCTGAAAGATGTGGGTTCGAGCCCACCACGAGACCTACTTCACGACTCTCACTGATGTCTGCCGTTGTTGTGTCCTTGGGAAAGACACTTATCCCCACTGCACTGAAAGATCAAGGCTCCTGTAGACTCTCCACCTGCAGGAGGATCAGTGAGGGGCTGGTGCTCTGTGAATTGGGTGCAGCTCTGATTGCCACCCCCCCTGACCCAGAAATGGATTAAGGGGAAGAAAATGGATGGATGGACATTAAAAGTATTTAATTCATAATTCCTTTTTTCTCTTCTCAGTTGCATTTTGTTCAGGATAAATTGTTTGTGGGACTTGATCAAGCCGCCCCAGGATTTCAGGTGAAGGAGCGTGTGGAGGGTCCTAGCTGTTCGTACCTGCAGCACATTCAAGCTGAGACGGGAGCCAAAGTCTTCCTCAGGGGAAAGGGCTCTGGGTGTCTAGAGCCGGCGTCAGGGCGAGAGGCCTTTGAACCGATGTATATTTATATTAGGTGAGCAGTCTTGCTGCTTAATATTTGTTATGATACTAACATTTGAAACTTTATAATAATAAAGTGTCTCAGTACTTCACAGATTTTTAGATACAACAATGTATGTTCTATTTTGGGTCAAAAAGCTGTGAACGTAGTACAAATAATGTATTTTTTTTGTTGCTAAATGTTTAAAAGTACTTTTATGGTACCTTAATGTTTGTGTGTCTTTGTCAGTCATTCCAAACCGGAGGGACTTGCAGCAGCAAAAATTCTATGTCAGAATCTTCTCCAGACTGTAAGTATTTTATTTACAGTGTTTCAACAGTTTATATAACTTCCTAAACTCATGTTTCTATTACTTTAAGTTCCGGATTGATGAATATTGCATACGTTTTTTTTTTTCTAGGTCCACACAGAGTATTCCCGGTTCCTCGGCCAAATGATGCCAACTCAAGGTACACTTACAGTGGATTTGCTTTGATGAAATCAAACATAAAAAATCATTCACTCTGAGCTAATCTGGAGGTAATACCTTTGTTAAAAACATAAAGTTGATAAAGGGCATATTGGCTTAAAGCATTGTTCACCCGCTAAAACCCATACACCCTGCCCTGAGCTTCTGTTTATTTACAATCACAAGAAAGAATCAAGTAGTTAGTGCGTCTGTGTCATAGTAAGGAGCTCCTGGATTCTATTCCACCTTCTGTGTTCTCCTCCCGGTGCTTCGATTTGCGCTTCCATAAAATAAACACAAAAAAAGGGTTCAGGGTGAATGCGTGTGTCTGCTAGTGAGTGTGACTCTGGGACAACTAAAGCAAATTAGCTGCACAGGAGAATCTGGTGTCATTATAGCACACCGTCCTGTTCCAAATAAATAGATAAATAAAAACTGAAGCCTGCTCTTGTGGTGGGCCTGCTGGGATATTTTACCAGAAAGTCATATTTATCATGATTCTTCACTACATGCTGTACTTTAATCCAGTGAGATCCATTGAGCTCTATCTTATCTCCTTCTACAGGGTTCACCCCCTCAATGGTGAACGGGATGCCTCCACAGCCTCCTTACTACCCTCCCGCTGGGTATCCTCCGGGCTTCTCTCTGCCTATTGCTGCCCCTCCACCACAACCACAGCCCCCGCCTCAGCCTGTTCCACCTCTGTACACTGTGCCCCGTCACATAAACCCTGCTCCAGCTGTGGCCGCTCCGTACCCCACTGCTCCAGCTCGCATCCCGGTGCCCACCTCTCTGTCGGCCCCCATCGCACCCCCAGGAACCATACCTCAGGTGAAGTGCAGCTGCATACCTCCAAAATACTTGATGAGGTGAGGTAGTGATGTAGACCAATTATTGGTACAGACATCTTTCTTAATAAGAGGCACTCCAGACAGAAAATAGGCAACGCGTTATGGATTTTTAGGGATTTTTATATTCTCTGTCAGGAGTATTTACTCCTTTCTTCAATGTTTCCAGTGTTTTTTTCTGATCCTGATGAGCTTCTCTCTAATATTACTACTGTAGATACTTTTTGGTAGGGAAGCTGGACACCCAACATAATGTTATTTCTTTTATTTTTCAGACTTTTCCCTCTGTAACCTTTCCACCCGCAGCACCACTGACTCCTAAACCCATCACCTGCTCAGCTCCAGCCAACCCGCCGCAGAAAAGACGCTTCACAGAAGAGGTGCCGGACGAGCAGGACAGTGGACTCCTTGGATATCAGGTGGATATTTAATACTATTGAGTGTTGCAGGTCACTACTAACTAATAGGTTTGTTATCACAGGTTGTATCTCCTACTAATGCCAATTATTCTTCTGTAGGCACTACAGAGTTTAGAGTACCAGTTATTTTTCAAATACTCTTTTGATTTGGAAATATAAACTGAGAGCCCCATAACAAAATGTAACATTGCTGATTCTTTGATTAACATTACATGAATAGGTTGTGTTCAGGTTCAATAATGTCTTCACAAAGAGAAAGTGGGGTAGGTACTAGAGTATCCACGAATATATACTTTTGGGTTGAAAAAGAGCACTACTTTCTGACCCTATTAACATAAAATAGCATTTTGTTTTTCAAACAGAAGATATCTGTTTTGTATATTGACCAGCTACAAATCAGACCACAGAATGTCTGTGGTGTCTCCTTTAGTTTGCAGGTCTGTTCTCTGACCAGTCAAGTCCATTAAGAATTTATATTTTTTTTATTTTTTGAAATAATCAAAGTTTGAACTGAGAGAGCAGGGATTAGTTGAGGATGTCTGCTAATGGCACTTGTGTGTTTTTCTGCTCATAGCATGGACCCATTCATATAACTAATTTAGGTGCAGGCTTCTCAGTGGGCACCCAAGAGACAGCAGGACCCCCACCTCAGAGTTCCTCCGATCCATCAAGTGTGAGGGACAGGTACAAGCAAATGGCTTTTTACATGTATTTCTCTGTTTGGTTTCTTTGCAAAAAGTGAATTAATACATTTATTTTTGTCCTTCAGTCGACAGCTAATGCCTCCTCCGCTGTTGCCCATTAATGTGGTCAGGCCTAGACTGGATGAACGGACTGCACCTCAAGGCCCAATGGGTGAGGTGTCACTCTTGAAGCAATTCCTTCAACAGAATATTAATCTAAAACTGTTGATTTAGGTTGATTTCCTCTGGGTGCTCAAAACGCTTTACCATCCACTTATTTAAGTTGTGCTTTTTAAAAGTGTTTCCCCTTTTTCTTATTTTATGTCAATCCAGGGGGCTAGAAAGCTTTTACACTTCTTATGATTCTTACAGGACTCTGCGGATTTGGTATGTTCTGTTAGTGAGGTGGACTTTGAGCTGCGTTCACACCTGCACATGCTTCTCAATGATACTTTCTCCCCTCTTCTATTCATTTTTTAAACAACATTTTAATATTGTCTCAATTGGGGCAAGAACAAGACCAAAGTTTCCATCAAGACTCAAAAGGGATATACCCTGACCAAACCAACACGTGTGAGCGCAGCCCCTATTTTAAGTACATTGAAAATATTTTAAAGATTTTTTTGGCTCATAGGTTTATTAGACAGGACAATGCACTGCGTCAAATGGGAGTGAAGATTGGGCAGAGACATTCTGCAAACTTGCGGAGCCAGGAATATCACAAATCTGCGACTGAGCATAGAGCTTAACCTTAATTTGAAGTACCAATGAGTCCCTGTCAGTTGTCTCTTCTGCTCCTGTTGATTCATGACTAATGAAAACTTCTCCTGTTTTTGTGTTTTCTCTCTCTGTGTTTTCTTCTCTTTCATGTTTCTCTGGGTGATTCTGGATGCTGCCATTGGGGGGCGACGTCCTCCGACATTGTGCTGCCAACCACTGGATGTCCCACCCTATACACTGTATGGTCCCACAACACGCCTTTTGACTGGGCCCCTCCATGCTAACTACAATGTTAAAACCATTAACGACTGCATTCTCTTTTCCATGTGTTGTGCATTGATATCGTTTTATATGTTGAAACGTGTTTCACTGTTTTGGATTTGCCTGCTGTTTCTTTCTGTCTTCTTTTCTTTGCCTCTTGCTTTTCCAGAGCCGACAGTGAAAAGAATGAGAACAGGTTTGGTAGCATACGCAGGTGACTCATCTGATGAAGAGGAAGACCACTCGGGCTCCAAAGCCTCTGGTCTAGGGGCATTTGGGGGAGTCCCTGTCACATCTGCATCCTCTGGGCTGTCACAAGGCTTCCGCTGCCCTCCCCCTCCTTCTCTGCGCCCCAAAACACAGACACAACAGCCCCCCATGCCTTTTTGGATGGCTCCTTAATGCCCTACTGCTTCTCACAGCCAATTGGCATCATTTGGACAATAATCTGAGCCATTGTTTCTAAAATTCTTAATATTGTTTGTGTTCTCTTCTTATAATTTGGCCATTTAGATTTTTGTGCATATGTTTTAATGCATAAATAACATAACATTTTCTGTCTGTTGTTTGGTTTTAAGAACCAGGCGTGAGACTTTTCTTGCAGGAAAGACAATGTAGCCCCTAGAATTATGCTTTTGCTACGCTACAAACTGCATTCATTTGTAGTTAAGACTATTCATGTGATTATTTTTTTTTATAAATTAAACATAATTTATTCTCAGTTTGTCCCAGTGTGCATTATTTTTATGATGGTAATGTAATTGATAGGAGTGTTCATTACCTTCTTACTCTTAGTTTCAGGTAAATCTCAGAAATGGGAGAAGAACTTTAGATTTTTTGTATTTTTGTATTCTTTTTAATCTAAAGACATTTAGGATTTGAAAGTAGGCCTAATACAAATGTATATAACTTTTGGATTAAAAATTGTTCTTTACGTTTTCTATTGTACAACACACGACATGACAAAAAGCTATATATATATAATTTATAGATCACTACAAATATTAAATGTTAATACTAATGATAATGGTTGCATGCATGATCTAATGCTACTCATGCATGTTTGATTTTTATCCTCCTTGTTTTTGAAAGTTTTTCCATAGATGTATTATATTATGGCTTGCGCGGGAATAGAGCATAGAGCCACAGTGGGACTGAAGAAACCATTGACTGGAGCTCACGCATCTACTCCATTAGTTAGTTTGTAGGCCTGCACTAGATTCGTTGAGAAAATTACCACCCACTTCTCAGATGAAAAAAATTTAATGGACATTCATAGGCAAGAGTTCATAAAACAACTGCTCGAACATGGCTCTACCAGTCCACCAGAACATACAAGGACTAATGTAAGCTAGGCACAGAGATAGTATTGTTACTAAATTCCACCTACCATGTTTTAGTAAAGTATGAGGAGACATGACACGTAAGAGTTGGAGTTTTTTTTTTTTATTGTTTTCTTTACATTGATTGAAACAAATTACATGAACTTGACATCTCCGAAAAGGCCCACTAAAGATTAAAAAATAAACAATATGATCCCTGATAGTAGGGTCAGTAGTAGAGCTGACCCCTGTCCCTTCACCAAAGCCAAGAAAAGAAGAGATCACATAGAAAGACGCTCACTTCACAGCTGGCACCATCATTTTCACCCTTTCATTCATAACAAAGCATTCATGTACAGGGCCCACTACTGTCAAACCAGACAGACAGGTCCCATAAGGCCAGTAAATCCACTAACAAGGCTTGACATTAACCGGCATTAACCAACGGATGCTGGAATATTTCTTTGGTATTTCCTCTTGTATGCTGATTATTCTACTAAGTACGACATTAAAATTTGTTCTTTGTTCAGAGGAAATAGACATACATTCGATTTTCGAGCTGCTGTACCACTAAACGTTTCCTGCATGGACCCTATATCTCTTTCCCGGGATGCTTCACGGTTTGACCTATCTTAGACTTATGTTGTATTATTGTCTGCTCAGACCCTGTTTCATACAGAGCAGAAGAAGATGGAGGGATGGATGGATTCAACTACAGGTGTTTTATAGCTATATACATTTAGAGTTGCCTTTCCACAGACTTGACCAATCATCTTAAACTGGCATCACTTGCTTTTCAACATCAAGATAACAATGATGCCAAAAGTGTGCATCAATCTGAGCAAAGAACGTTGTGAAGTCTCTCAATTACACTTTGTATAAAGATCATCCTTCAGGACCAATGAGCTAATGTCAAGCCTTATGTTTTCACTTTGTCAGACATCAATTGTCCTTTCTCCAGATTATGTCTTCATGTTTGTACAAAGTGTCTACTGCCCAACAGCACCAAACAGTTTCTTCTACTTCACTCACTTAGTGCAATGCTCAAGATTTCCTGAGTATAGTTACAGCACAACAACAAAAATTCTAAGGCATTTTATAGGAATATTATACTAAATGTGGAGAGCTTTTTATAATAAGTATTCTCTATACTCACAGTCTTAAATGGTAAGTTATTAAAATATACTATGAAAGGCAGAAAGCTCAAATCTCATAGTGCAAATAAACAGGATAGTAAAAGTGAACGAGACAAGACTAACCCAGTATTACACATAGGACAGAGTTACCATCTTCATGAGCCAATATTGCGTTACAAACAGCACACTATTGTAATGAGTTTAATTATTATAAATGGTGCAATTAAATGTTTTTGGTCAAAAGGGAAGACGTAAATAAATGACCCCTGATGGCTCCTCGGCTGCCATGCACTTAAATGTGACACATACAGTGCAATAGATTCAGTAAAAGGAAGCAGGACAACTGTATTTCTTGTGAGGAATGTGCTCAAGCTGAAACCCGACGCGGCCATATGTGCAAAGAATGCATTGGTGAACGCATTTTAATTTGGTACCGAAATTCAGGTGGGGCAATGTTGGCGAAAAAATTCTCAAAGATCACAACAGTGAAGGCAAAGATATTTTCACTGTTCAGGATTATATCGGAATAAAATGCAATAAATAACAATAAATATAAAATAAATACAGGAAAAGGATTGGGTGATCATGAAGTGGAGTGCTTTACAATATTAAAACTAAGCATTTGTTTATATTTTGTTGCCTCTTCTTTTTTTGGTCAGGCATTCGACAGAGCCGTTTGACCCTGCCACCTGCCATACATATGGACACATGGCTTTCTCAGTTGGGAAAACCCAACTTTGGCTCCTATTCTGCATTAAGTGACAAATGCTATCTTTGGTTAAAGACATACATCTTCATTTGGAGTTGCACCAAAGACAAAAAGGATTGTATTGCTTACAATGCAAGTTTCATTACATTTGTATTGCAATATTATATTTCCACCACTAGAGGAGAGTAGTGGTGTGAAAACTCACCTGAATCAAAATTGCATAACTACATTTGTATCATAAACCATATTTTATAATAAAACTCATCAGATTATATTGCATAGTAAAACAACCCCTGTAAATATACATTCATCACTCACATGCCCACCTTAAAAATAAAATACATTTACATCAAATCAGCAAACAATGAACAGAAAAGAAAAGACAAAAGATAGATAAAGTATCTCAGAAACCCGTTTTCCATATTTCTCTTTTTTACATATTTTTAAAGCATGACATTTAGAAGCAGCATGTTGCATGTCCAGCCACCTGAGTGAGATTTTTTTTAGCGTGGATGTTTTACCACAAACACACACTTGCACACTTCATTCTTCCTCTTCTTCATCTGCTACATCTTGGTCCACATGTGCAGCCCAGCCCACCCGCTGTGAGGCCAAAGTATGAGCCCTCCTTGACTCCTCCGCCTGCCGCCCGTGGAGTTCCAGGCTGCGCAAGAGGAAGGCCGGATGAAGGGGAGCGAGCTGAGCCAGAGCCTGAAGGGCCATTGTGCGCTCCCTCTCAGCATCATCCTGGAACATGTGCGGGGGACCAGTGCTAGAGCTGCTTTTCCCATCCTCTCGCAGTGCGTTGGCCAGCAGCCCTGAAGGGTGTCCCTGCAGAGAGGCAGGGGGCTCTGGTCTGTCCTCGCCATGCTCGTCCTCCGCCTCTGGGCCACGTCTTGGCCGGCGCGTGCGTACCTCTAAGCAGCTATGGCCTTTGCGGTGCCGTTGCAGATGGTCCTCACGGGCAAAGGCCTTGTGGCACAGCGGGCACTCGAAGGGCCGCGCCCCGCTGTGCAGGGACAGGTGGTTCTTCAAGTCGTACGAGTGCAGGAAGCGAGCGGGGCAGTGCGGGCACAGATAAGGCCGCTCTCCCGTGTGCTTCCTCATATGGATCTTCAGTTTATCGTTCCTGTTAACCAAACACATAACAACACAGGGCTGTCAACAAGTAGCATTGCATGATACAGCTAGAAGCAAGACAATTTTTTTTTAACATGCATTATAAAATAAAATATACATAGTATATCATACTATTATATTATTATATTATATACATTACATAATACATAATCAATAAATGTGAAATCTTCAATGCATTCAAGCCAAATTCCCTTGAATGGAAACATTTCTTTAAGCTGGGGCACCAAGCTTATCTAATAAGCTCCTGTACCTTGTGAATCGGACCCCGCAGGCCGTGCACTGAAACGGCTTTTCTCCTGTGTGCGTGCGCATGTGCCGGGGTAATTTCCCGGCTCCATGGATGATCTTCTGACACACGGGACATTGCTGTGGCGTCTGGGACTTCCTCTTCCTGCCGCCTCCCGCTCCTGACGCTACAGCCACCTCCTGAAGAGCAGACGTGGGCACAGAGATGTTTTTCATCAAGAGGGCTTCCTCCGCAAAGCTGTCCACCTCGTCCTCCTCTGAGAACTTATCAATGGAGCGTGGGACGGAGGAGGGGCGGCTGTGTGAGCGATTCTGCAGCCAGTGAGCCAGGCCGCCGTTCACTAGCCCTGTCACAATCACAAATTATGAAGGATCAGAAGTGTAGGGAGACATGCCAAAAATGTAAAACCTATGCAGACAGGGGGAGAACATGCAAAGTCAACGCAGACTCCAGGCCCCTCACCAGCTGTGTGAAATAAACATATACTGTATGTATTGCATAAACTTACAATTTGGTACATTAAACAGCCAAATTAGCAAAAATATGACAGAAAGCTTGAAAACTTAAAAAGATTTTATGAGTATTATGAGTATATTACAAAATAAATAGCAACCATCTATTGAGCCCCTACATTGTCCAGTCCATCCACCCTTACATATTAAGCGAGGTGTGGATATAGAAGTGACAGGCCTACCGTTCACCTCCGGCTCTGCAGCTCTGTGGTCTCCGTTCATGCATTTCAGCTGCAGCTCCTCCTTGTCTGGACTCGGCGGCCGCGTGGAGGGTAGAGAGCGCAGGCTGTCGGAAGCAGGGGACGGATGGGACAGTGGCGACGGAGGCGTAAAAGCTGATGTGTGATTTTGACCAATTTTTTTCACCTTCTTCTTGTCATTTTTTCGCCTGGACACTTTCGCCACACAATCATTTTGTAGTGTTTTCTTTGGAGCGTTTTGTTGGATTCTATAGTCCTCAATAGGCATCTCAGTGTCCTCTGTCTCACCTACAGGGATGTAGGAAAGGGACAATCAACAAAACAATAGATTATTGCAAAAGAAGAAGTACAATAATAATATGATCGGAGATATATATATATATATATATATATAACTAACTAACTAACTATTATATCAGTGTCTTCCAAAGTGCGGTCCGCGGCCCACCAGGGGGGGGAGGGTATTGCAGGGGGGCCACGAGAAGTCATCAAAAAATAATTTTAAATTAAAGCCGCAAGCGGCGTCAAACGGCCCTCGCCGCACCGCGCGCACCACCCCACACCGCGGGCACCATGCCACCCCGCACCACGCCACCCCGCACCAAGCCGCAACGCTCCGCTCCACAACGCCCCGCACTACGCCGTACCAAACCATACCACGCAGCACCGCGCAAAGGAGGTGGGGCGGCCTCGTGATGATTTGTTGCTGTAGCCATAGAAGAACGTTAGTCAAATTGTAATGAATATGATAATTAGAGCTGTTTGGCACCCCATGTAAAACTTTGCCTCAATCTGTAGGGGGCGCTAATGGGCCAATTTCAAATATTTCACTTTCACCTGACCTAAACCCTAGAGTTGAACATTGGATTCAAGTTTTGTGCAAATCAGACTTTGTTTGTACAAACGGGAGCAAAATTAATGTTGTCAAAAACGGCCAAAAAAACTCACATTTTGCCGCTCCGCTGCTCAAACAACGTTTCACTGATCGGTTAGATGTTTGGGCAAAATTTTACAACTTTTCATGCATGTTCAGGGGGTGAAATTAAGGCTCAAAGTGCAGAATTTGACATCTCTCGAGCAAAAACAATAGGCCCTTTCCACGTTCAGGGCTCGGGCCTTGTAATACCCCCATGGGATTTGTCGGAGGTCAAGTTTGTCGTAGAGCCATGAAACTCGGTACACATGTTCCTCAAGTCAAGACATGAAAAAAATGTTATTATGGCCCCGCCCTCTGACAAACAGGAAGCCCATAAATTTCACTGCAAAATGGAAAAATTAACAGCAACAATTATCATACATGTCGGTTGGAAAGCGACTCCTCCTCGGCCGTTTCACCAATTTGCTTCAAAATCGCTCCAGATCATCTCAACACATGTACCTTGAAAATGACTTCAGCGATTTTTCATCAGTGAAACGTTGTTCGAACAGGGGAGCTGCAAAATGTGACCTTTTTTTGGCCGTTTTGGACAATATTAAATTTGCTCCAGTTTGCACATACAAAGTCTGATTTGCACAAAACTTTAATACATTGTTCAACTCTAGGGTCTAGGTCAATCAAAAGTGAAATAAAAGAACTTGGCTCATTAGTTCCCCCTACAGATGGAGTCAATGTTTTCAGAGTTTTTCATACTAAAAACTCTGAAATAGTCTGTAGGGGGCGTTAATGAGCCAAGTTCAATGATTTCAATTTCAAATGACCTAGACTCTGGAGTTGAACCATGGATTCAAGTTTTGTGCAAATCGGAATTTGTATGTGTAAACGGGAGCAAATAGAAGGTTGTGAAAAACGGCCAATAAACACTCACATTTGCCGCTCCACTGCTCAAACAACGTTTTACTGATCAAAAATCCCTTCTGTCATTTTGAAGGTACATGTGTTGAGATGATGTGGAGCGATTTTGAGGCGAATCGGTGAAACGGCCGAGGAGTCACTTTCCAACCGACATGTATGAAAATTATTCCATTTTGCAGTGAAATTTATGGGCCTCCTGTTTGTCAGAGGGCGGAGCCATGGTAACATTTTGGTCTTATCTTCACTAGAGGAACATGTGTACCGAATTTCATGGCTCTACGACAAACTTGACCTCTGAAACTCCCATTGGCTGTTGTAGGTGGCGTTGTTCTGGCATTTTTTGAGTCCCATAAAAATAAACGCCAAAATATCAAATTTTTCACCAGGCCTGATGTTTGGGCAAAATTTTACAACTTTTCATGCATGTTCAGGGGGTCAAATTAAGGCTCAAAGTGCAGTGGTTGACATCTCTCGAGCAAAAACAATAGGCCCTTTCCCCGTTTGGGGCTCGGGCCTAAAAAAATAAAATAATTATTGTATTTTATATTAATAATATTTAGTTTGAAATATTAAAATATTTGTGTTCATTATTTGACTTGAATAATCAAATTGTAATCATTTTTGTATTACAAAATGGGGTGCGTCATTTACATGTTTGTAGCAGAGGCTATTTCCCCCCAAATAAAATAACGAGAAGAGCCTACTTTTAAGGTTGTCTTCTTGGTAATTATTTCAGGGGGCCGTGAAGACCTGTCAGATTTTTAAGTATTACTGACTTTGGGAATGGCTGTATTATATTATATGATATATTATATATTAATTGCATACATATACATGCCCTACATAAAGCTGCACTACACAGCTTATTTCCATCAATATTCACAAACTAAAGAAAAAAATAATACATAATTGCACATTCACTTTTATAATAGGTTGGATGGGACAAATATCATAACATATTGATAATGGGCTGTATAGGCATATTGATATTTTATCGGGAGCCATACATTGCATTCTGTAGGGGACCCGGAGATTCACAGTCCTAATATTGTGCTGGCATCATTAGAGTCACTGGATGATCTGAGACAGTTTTGAAGAAAATACTTCAGAATGCAGATGAAGTGGTGTAGCAGAATATTTAAAATGTATGGTAATGACCTTTTCAGAAAATGACCTGTTCATCAACACTTTTGAGGCCACAAATTTGACCTCATCAAATTGTATACTCTTTGAATGATTGAAAGACCCTGGTGCTACCTTTTAAATTATTTTAGTTTTTGCTTGAATTAACCCGAGTCTCACCTAGGATCTCTCTGCAGGCGTCTGCGACACACTGGATCCCCAACAGCTGAGCAGCGCGCAGCACGTCCCTCATGCCGGAGCTGGGGATGGTCAGCGTGGCCGTGTAGGCGAAGTCCAGGAGGGCGTCTAGGGCATCAGGAGCAACGCAGTCCAGCTGGCACACGGTGAAGCTCCCTCCGCCCCCCTCCCCTTGCCCATCCTCTGTGACGAACAGGTGGCGGAAGTACATGCTGACGCCGGCCATGACGGCACGATGGGTGGGGTAGCGTGCACCATGGGACGTCAGTGTGAGGTCACACAGGAGGCCGCTCCTTCTCTGGATGTTCAGGTGGGACAGGAGCTCGCTGCTGTGCTCTGGGAAGGGGATCCCAATCAGGCCGTCCTCTCCGGGAGACATCGCCACCTGCATAGGAAGGAGGGAATTTAAGTTTATGGCACGTTTCAAACATTTTTGAAGTGCTTAACAGAGCAACAGAACACATCATAGAAAGCCATTTAACAAATAGAAACACTTACAACAGTCTAATTAAATAGTGGCTGATTAGTGTTGTTAAAAGTATCAGATACTTCAGATATGTGAACAAATATTGATACAGAAACAACTTCACAGATTATAGTTCTTTAAAAGAGCATTTTAACATTCACAGTGGTATGACAGTGGTGTTGAGTGTACCAAGGGTCCCCAAAACAGTCCAGAAAGGGCAGGTGTGCCAGCATGTTTTCTATCAGACTAAGCAGGAGCAGAGCAGACTCCACCCATTTGCTTAAATCTTCAAGTTAAGACTGAACTCATTTGAGGAAATGGGTAGAGTCTGCTCTGGTCCTTCTCGACCGGTTTGGAGACTGGGGGTATACAGTTTATTCAATAACATCGAAACTGACTGAAATTAATATGAGGGATGCAAGATAGACAAGTACATTTAGGCAGTCACTGAAGATAATTTATTTTATTTTAGGGAGTATAAACATGTTTAATATTGATTATTATGATAATTGTAGGCTTCTAGATGGAGAAAATGTAGAATTATGCATACAGTTTGTAAAGAAACATATTTTTCCATTCATATTATTTCCTGGAAATGTTTAAGCATGCACAGATGTGCATACTATAATTGTAATCAAATTAAGAAATGAATATCAAATCTAATCGCAAAGCAGAAAAATTGTATTTAGATATTCTGTTATAAAATGGAACTCTTATCAGCACCAAGTTATACAAAGGATACAAACTTTTCCATTAAGCATCATTGGACTGTGTAGTGTGGGGCCCCCACCCTACACATCAAATGAAATGCATTTTTAATCAACTATTATGTAATTACTTTTTCAAAAGTTTCAACTTTTTGAGGATTTTCACGTTTTTAGTATAGATACATATATTGACAGAAAAATTTATTATCGTCCTGTGAACCGTCTCTGCTGATAAGACGCAGAGAAATCCTGGTCATGAGACCGGAGCATTGTGCAACATAGTGTGTGTGTTGTAAGTGAAGACCAACAGGCCTTCAAGTTGCTTGATTAAAATAGCTGCCGTGAATTCTAATAAGGAGAAATACTGGAAAGCGTTTGAGGAAGTGCTGAGGATGCAGAGAAAACATAGGTAAGAATCACATAATAATAAACAAATACTCCCTGTTTGAAGGAGAATGATACAATATAGAATTGTCTAAACTCCTGGTACATAGACTGGAAATAAGAATCAACAGTTTTGCTATAATAGGAATGGAAATGGTTGATGCATATAACACATGTATAACACATCTCTTCTTACTTAAATGTAAAATGTGAAACTCAATTGTTCTTTCACTACTAAGAATCAAACTTACTTGTTGTGCCAATGGGGTCTACTGAAATTGGAAACCCTTTATGGCTTATGTTGAGACAGTGTGGACTTTAGAGTTGTTAATCGTGACATAGTTTCTCACTTCCGGGGTCACAACGACTGCATCTTAACTCAACTTTGTTTTGAACTCTCTCAGAGTTTATGCTACGTTTTGTTCAAATAAAACAAATGTCAGCAGAAAATAAGTATCAGGGTCTTGAAAGTCTCAGTATGGAATTTTGAAACACTGTTTTCCAGACCTTGAAAAGTCTTGAATTTTGGGTGAAAATCTTGAGAAAGTAGGACAATGGTAGAATTTTACAGTATGCTCAAAGGCATTGTGAAATGAGAAATAGGAAGGTAAGCTGAAAAAATATAATTTTAGTAACTGGTCTCATACTAATGGAATGATATCCAATCAACGCTTGCTTAGCCTAGTCTGGCACATTTTAGTGAAGTCACTGCTGAGGTCTATTGACACATAGCTAGCCTGATTTATGGTCTTTTCGGTTTTCAGGTCTTGGGAAAAAAATATTCAGTTTTAAAAATGTCTGGAAAAAGTCTGGAATTTTATTTTGGAAAAAGAGCAAGCACCCTGAAGTATACATAAGTATGATGTGGCTTGAAATAAGGTTAACTTGTGCTTTCAGTTCATTGAAAGAATTCTTTAAACAAAGGACAGAGAAGTTATGGTACGAAAGACAGAATCAAAGTGAGGGTACCTAACTTTCAAACCACAAAGAATGTAATTTGTTTCTCGCTCTCCAAACAATTTGATTACATCACTAGTTTTCACATGCATGCATTTAAGGCCTTCATCACATCTTTAGATCAGCTTTTTCAGACAGAAAAGTGAAAAAGAGAGGACTACCCTCACTTAGCCAGTCAAGGATGCTGTGGCCTGAATTTACATTCACCTAACTCATTGTTTGGACAAGAATTTAATATTATTTATGAAAACAGTTATGTTAGGTCTCCCAGCTTTAGCCAACAATTAGCTTTAGCCTGGATTCAGAAGTGTTTTGTTTGAAGAGGTGAGGTGTATTGTATTCTCTCACCTCACCTCTCCCTGCCAACACAATGTACCTGCTCCACTGTCCCACCTGATTTTCCACAAACAACCCCTCAGATGCCCCCCCTCCCCCTCGAGCTTGAAGTCCCTCCCATAGCAACATGCAGCCCCCTGGCCATCCAACGGCACTGACAGAGCGCGCCCAAGGGTTTTGCACAACGACAGTACATCCACTTGAATAACCTGCTCCAAACACACCCTATAAGCATACACATTGCGTGCCAGTCTGAGGTCCCCCCCACCCTCTATTGTTAAATTAACCTGTTATATGACGCCTGTGCCCATCCAATGCCGAAATCATAATGCTACGCCCGTTTGAAAGAAAATACAATTAAGAATTGTATCTATCTGTCTTCGCAGTGGGATTCAAGTTGTTATTGAGAGGAAGTCTGTGGTTCACATTTGCCCATAACTTTGCCTTTTGTGACATGGACTGATTATTATGATATACCAATATTTAAAAGCAGGAATTTTACAATTAATAAACTATTGATTGTCACTATCCCCAGATTTTGTGTTATACCAGTGTAGAAAATAAATAATTTTAATAATTTGTCCTGTGTGGCCTCTTTCTCTTCAAACGATTTCATCATGAAAATTAATGGACTATTATATACTTTTTATATATATATATAAATAAAAGTGGGCCTGGTCATTGCTTTATAAATATAATATTGGTATTTGCAAACATTGGCTTATAACGAACATTACAAGTATAGTCAGTTTATAGATAGACAATAAAAAAGTCACACATGGGAAACTAATCATTCAGCCGCTAACACAAAGAGGAAAAATATCTTTTAAATGTTTCTGTCAGCGCAGATTAAAGTTATTGTTTGGAGGAAGAACTCATAGTTCCCAAATGTTTAATGCAACCCTACCTTTCCGGTTATAATTGGCATCGGCACAGTTCGCTGAAGCTGAGATGGAATGCTCTTTGTGGCATCCATTTCTTCGATTCACGTCACTAATTCGAAATCTGTTGCAGCTCCAGTAGTTTCAAATGAGAAATGAGACATTGATCTCTATTGTACTTGATCTCGATCTCTTCCTGTTGTAAAACTGGGTGAAGGATACAGACCTGACTCCCCACAATCGCCTACGCACTACTTTTGCAAAAAAAAATTAAAAACGTTCCTGTATCCTGTAAACGTTCCTTCACAGATATAGTCTTATATGTTAAGGTAAGCTACTAACTGCATTAATTTATCAGTCTATAAATTACATAACATATAATTTACGTGGCTATTTTCATTAACAAACTAAATTAATTCGTAGGAGCAGAGACAGCACAGTTCAGTGCAGAGATGTTATAGATGTTATAAAACTAAATCGGTTCACTCTGCTGATTATTATATCTTAATATTGTGTACATTTAGGTAGGGTTTATAAAGTGCATTCCATTAATGGTCTATAGTTTTTAGCAATACATCATAATTCAAATATCGCAGTTACAATTTTGTCAGGTACAAGTTCAGGAGGATGTGTCAATTAGATGCATAACTGAATATAATGTGTATACTCAAGCATATTGAAAACCAGGAAATGAGAACGGATGCCACCAATGAATGTCAGCGCGTTTTACAAAATGTAAAAAAATAAACCTTCAAGGCAGAACTGAATAAAAATAATGTTCAGGTGTTTTCAGTGTTCAGGTAATGGCGCAGTAGTAAGAGAAGTGGATATAAGTTTTACTAAAATTTTATATCAACTTTTTTGATATAAGTGAAATTACATGAAAAAGGGTTGGCTGTGAAAATACTAAACAAGCAAACATTCAAAGTGGATTTTTTGATTATAAAAATATTTTAACTGCAGCACAATAATTGCTAAATAAGCTTTTCTTTTTGATGACTCCTCCGTTCCTCCTCACTGTATTCTATTCCGTGTGCAATGTGCAAGCAGAATGTTGCAACACAGTAACTATATTTTGAAGCACCCGCATTGTTCACTAAACAACGCGCGTTACCAAGATGTACCAATAAATACAACAAGCATATACCATTAGTCTCTTAAGTTCATCTATGGTAATATTATATTTCATTTATTTGTTCCCATATGTCATTGAAAAGTTGTTTTGACTGAGGATGCTAATACTGTATTGCTCCATGACATTATTGCCTTCATTTTATAAGCTCAATATTTGGTCCTGGTTTGTGCAATATTGTGCAGTCTTCTGTCAAGTTGTGGAACAAGAGCGGTTACTATAACTTTTTTTTTATTTTTTATGGCGTTTTATTTCCATTCAAGTTTGTACTCTTTCCCAGTCCACCTCAATTATATCATCCTCCAGGGCTAAGGGGGAAAATATTACTTTATTCTGTTGGAGGCAGCAGACCACGACTCCAGAGGAAGAAGGAGAGGGCTTTTATGAATTCTGATGTCACATGTTTTCCAAAGAGCCCCTGTGTAACTGTGACGCAGTGAGAGCATTTATTTTTTAAAGTATTCTGCATGGCGTCGCACATAGGAAAACAAAAATAGGTCTGAATGAGTATTTTTGTTTTAT